CCCCCCCCCCCCCCCCCCCCCCACACCCAAATCTGCCCCTGGAGTTCTCAGGGAGAGTTTTATGGCTTAGTTTGGTCCAAATTGTGTTTTTAGACCACAATATTAGGGATTAGCAACAGTGGGGGCTCCAAGATATATTTTCTGGGGGCCCCCTAAGTTGTCCGACAGTGGACTTGAGCTCGTAGTCCTGAGCTGGGAGAAGGGTTTGAGATGAGGGGGGTTCTCCTCCCAAATGATATTTTTTTTAAAGAATAAGAACCTTGGGATGTCCGGAAATGGCACTCTCAGACAGTGACAGACATGTATTGCTTGGTGTGTGCCTATTTTTATATTGGTTATGGTCTGACTGCCCGACAAGCTCTGTCCAATGGGGAGCATGACCTGTCCAGTGGCGGGCTTAAGCCACCCCGCTTCCCCTCCGCTGGCGCCGCCACTGATTAGCAATCAAAATAGCGTTATTTGGATGGGCAAACTATTATATTTTCTATTTTTGATCCGACAACTCAGTCGTGGTGTCAGATGACAAGGGGTAAAAAAAAGTCTTCAATCTTTTAACACAAAACTAATTGGAAAGTGAACCCCAAGCCAACCCTACATTTACAGGTCCCAATGATGGTCTCTATTTGGAGGGCAAACTGTTTAAGAAATATAATTAAAAAAACAAAAAACAAACAAACATACAAATGACACACAGAAATCAATGAGAAAAACAATGTGGTGTTGATTTCAACAAAGGCTAATATGTTTTAATCATTTGCTAGGAAAAAATACAGCTCAGCCAGAGAGGTCAAAGTATCATATAAATCAAATACACGCCAAAATTGCCATTACACTTTGTGCATTAGAAACTGTGGTTTCTCCAGTTGCATAATACATGCAAATGTTGTATGCTTGTGTAAAAACAACAGATACTCATGAGTCATACACGATAATTGCCATGTCATACACGATAATGCCATGTCATACATAATATTAAAGGCTGAATTACTATTTTTTTTGTTATACAAAACTCAATATTTATAAACCTATGAAAATTTAGGATTTATCTTTATCATCGAGATGTCATTTATGTCCAATTCAATCATTCAATTACATTCCTTACATACACATTCATCTCAATTAACATTATTCACATATTTTTCATTACATCAATCAATCAATCAATCTCTAATAAATTGGATAACCACACTCTCTATCAAAATTTGCCTACATTTGATATCCGATAAATACATTGATATGTACAAGGATCAAAGAATCAGTTATTGAAAACTGACTTCAGCAATCAATAAATCAACAAATCAGCATCTTCAAGCCACCCAATCTTGGCATTAACTAACACTACTCTATAAGTCAAAAATGTTATGACAAATCATTCAGTTATTAAGTATCCCTACTTAAGTGTTTAAACCAGGTTGGAAGGAAAGTCTAAATCGCTCATTAATTTGAAAATTCAAGAAAAAATAGCCATAGAAAAAATGCCATAATCAACTCTAAACATTAGAACAATATGATAAAATGTGTTTCATAAAAATATCCAACCGTGTTAAGTGTTGTAATATATTTTATACTGTACTCTTATAAACGATTATTTACATAACTTAATAGTGCTATTCCCTAATAATGTTCTGGGTGTATTAATACTATATTTTGATGAGAATATGTATAAATAAAACCTAGCAGAACAGGTATATTATGAAGTTACAAAAACTTATATGATCTTATTCAAATATTCATTATATAGAACTAAATTCTCACTTTTGTTGGACTGGAGATAATAAAAGAATTATTAGAAAAATGTTCTCAACAAAAGACAATGAAACATGAAACAAACTAACACAATAGCCTATATATCTGAATAATTGCCATATGTTGATATTTAAATAAAACAAAAATTAAGTTTTTCTAGGCTTTTGTTCTCAACGCACCTACAAAGAATCATCTGGTCCCCATGTGGACAATTCCCAGGTCAACCTCCTGGATAGGGAACCATGTTTCTTTAAAAGAGGTGTTAAAAAAGCAATCTACATCCCGGTGCAAAATCCAACACTCAAATGAGACTGGGTACGACACAAGCTTACAATAATCTACTATTTTTAATAGGTTCACATGTTTGTAAGATAACTTGCCCTGAATTGGCGTGGCTTTCTTCAGCCATGTTACAGTCAATACGCTGATGAGGTACTGAGGGAATGGTCGAACATGCTAGGAATTCTTCCCTTGTGTTAAGAACAAAGTTAAACGTTTGTTTTAATAGCCTATACACATATACAGTAGGGTAAATAATTAACAGTAATACAGTTAAAAATCTCAATTCATAAAGATCTGCTTATTTAATTAACTAATAAACTAAACGTTAATGTTTGATAGTGATACAGTGCTTTCTACTGAAAGAACTTGTTCTTCCCATTAATACCCGCCTCCTTGAAAATAGTATTAATACACAATATGCAACCGCATCCAATCACTTGCATGTATTTCTTATCATGTATGAATATTCATCAGTAGACTAAATATATTCAATTGAGGACAGTCACACCAGCAACTTCATCCAATCACTTGCAAGTATTCCTTATCATGTATGAATATTCATCAGCAGACTAAATATATTCAATACAGGACAGTCACACCCTTTCAGGTATCTAATAGTTAGAGGTGGAAAAAGCCTAATATTGACAAACTGCTTTGTATTGTGATTTGACAACAGTTGTTATTCATATTTTCTTCCTATGGAAAAATTCTTCCTAAAAACTAGAACAATACTATTGAATTACGAAATGGAGAAACAAGGATATTCAATAAAACTCTGTCTTAAAACACAGTACTGTAGAAGTTACTTTTTGGTTTCATTCCTCTATATCCAACTTTCTGCTACAAAATGTTTCTCGTCCATTTCATAATATATAACACATGAATAAATCCTTAACAACCTATGGAATTGCTATGTATGAACGACAATTATTTTTTTCCCCCGCAAATTAACTAAGAAAAATTTACTTTATAGAATCTGAATATATTAGATTGTAAAATAACAGAGAATTGTACATAATTAATGAATTAAAAAAGCTAAGACAACAACAAATATAATATCTATATACACACATCACAATTGCATTGCAACAAATAAAGCAGGCAGATCACAAAATACAGTGACAATATTGTTAAGTTAGAAATGCTAAGAGGCAATTGGTAAGTTACAAAGGTAAATTACAAATGCTAATAAACAATTGCAGAGTGACAATTGATTATTTAGTGACAAGTGATTGGCAGCAAAGTGACAACTGTTGAATGAAAACTGTGACTTGTGTTACAATTAGGAAGAATATTCTGATAAATTGATAGGTTACAAAGTTAAAATTGGTGACATTTGCTAGGAGGCAGTTGAGGGAGAGAAAAAAAGAGCATTTGTTTTGCTATTAAGCTATATTATGTACAAGTATATCACATTTTTGTTTTAAATCACAAAACTAAGGTCTGTGAATTAATCAATTTCATCTATCTCTTTATTACTGTATAATAAACTTACATACATTCCCATTTATTAAACTCTGGAATAATACAAGTACAAAAAGTGACCACATAAATATGTTTTTTAAAACTGAAATACACTCATATGGACATAAATCAAATAAAAATCACAACATTAATTGTACTTTTTGATATACATATATATCACATCCCAACTCTGTTTCCGTTCAGCATAGGCCTTATCCACCACTTACTTTTTTATAATTTCTAAGCTCCAAACAGCCCTGCTGTATTTGCTTACTTATGCTTTCAATATCCTAGAAGAGTAGGTCCCTTGAATATAACTGCATTATAAAAAATAAGATAATCTGTAAAAGTGCATTCACCTCTTTACTATCAAATAATTGGGTCCTAATGCCTAGAGTTAGGCACTGCACTTCCCACTTAATCAACATCTCAATTCTAACTAATGGTTCTTCTAAAAAAAAATGAATCAAAGAACTACTTTGGTGTCATTCTTGAAATGACGTTTGCGCAAGTACATGCAGCAGATGGTAGCTAATTACCATAATGAATATTAATAACTCTCATAGAATCTCGATCTGCACCATACAGGTTGATAATTACAACCTCCACAAAGGCACTTACAGATCTCAAGCTAACATCTCATATAACATCTTTGTAAAAAAATTCATATTATTCCTAACACATAAAACATACAGTACTATGCATGAATACATATAATTTATACACAAATATACACATGTAAATGAATGTGTACATTTATGTGTATGTGTATTGGTTTACACAAGTAATGGCATTGCTAGACTTTGAATAGCTATGTATCTGCCTATAGAACCACAACCGTCTATAGCAATATATATATATATATATATTTACAGCAGTTCTTGTATTTTAAAAATGCTACAAAAATTCCTTTACAACAGTGATGCACACATCAACAGGAATGAAGGTCAGATGCTACTGGAATTTGGAGGTAGGAGTTAGGGGAAGGGTAAGATAACAGAGCCAAAAATTGACTGAATTTTTGTTATAAGTACACACTGCACATTTTTGTATTGAACCTAAATTTAAATTGGGTCTCACGAGGCACTAGTTAGTAGACACATCCTATGTGTTGTAAGCCAAGTTATGATTAGCTCAGACCTAAAAATTTGCATACAAGTTCAAATTGACATTTTTAAACATGGATTGGATTTCAGATCTTTCAGTTGAAAAACACGACTATCCTTATGTTAAGTTGCTTACATCCAAGTGGTTTTTTTTAACTATCAATCTTATTAACAAACTAAGTTAAATATAGGCTTCATTAAAGGGCAAATTGAGCTCAAAGTAACAATCCTATTTAAAGCACTTTTGTATCTTATGTATTCCAAACTATTTTTTTACATTCCTTATATAACAAGGAGTAGCCAAAGGTAGAATAAGATGGGAGAAGAGAACCATGAGAGGAAGGCCAAAAATGTGGGGAGGAGAAAATGGCCCACTAAAAAGTAGGGAAATGGGAAAAGGCCATGGAGACACATGCTCCCCTAGCTGTTGTTATTACTGACATACAACGCAAAATTGCAGATCTGACCCTGTATTCCAGTTTTTTGAATTCCATATCCATGAAGACATGAGTAAATTATCTCAAAAATTTCCTGCTATTCTATCTTTTTGTTCTCTCTAAATATTCATTAAAATCATAGGGTTCCTGGTGGTTCATATCCTCAAACATATTTTGCTTAATCTTGATTGGATTTCATCCCTGGCATTTGTGATAATCAATATGTGTTTGTCTATATTTAATTGAATAATCCCTGATAGTCAATAAGTATAAAAGGTGAGTTCTTGAGATATCTGAGTCTTGGTCCGAATCATGGCAGTTTCTTGATAAAGGTTGACAATCAGGATTGAAACTGGAAACCTTCTGTAACAGTTAATTGGAAACCTGCTGGAACGGAATCACTGCTTTTCAACTTTCTGATAAATATTTACCTGGAAGTAAAATGAATAAGAACCGTTAACACCAGTTGCGACTTTGGAGGCCAGTTGTTTTCAAAATAATTTGCATATTTAAGCTAATTTTCATAAATATGTGGCACTTGACTGTGTTCATTAAAAAAAAAAAAATTTTTTTTGGAATTTGTACCACTTCAAAGTTAGACTGCATAGTTATATATTTTTATTCAAATGACAAATAGACACCAATTTAAATTATGCAAATCAGGCAACTTCAAGATTTCGAAATATGTGCTAATGTTTACTCTGTGTTGTTGGCTTCATATAACACATTTCAGCAATAAATTTAGTGAGCTTGTACCAGAAGCAGTTAATTTTACTAAGTCTACTTTAATGACTCTATATTGAACAAATAACATACCTGATGAAAATTTCTTTTTGACAAGTGAAAGGCGAAATGATGTTCCCACTAACTCTATGTCAATACCGGACAATGTGGTACCGTCACATCCAAAACTAACAGCCAACGTGGACGGCTTAGTTGGTCCATTGGTCAGCTCAAACTTGGCCCGTATGGAGCCAGATCCACCATCCTCAGACTTCTGAGAGATCTCTGGTATTTTCCATAAGGCTCTCTTGTTTTCAGCTGACCTAAGATGAGATAAATCAAAATCAATGTTAAAGTGTTGAAATCACAAAGTAATGAATTCATGTCCCACAGCTATATATACCATCTGTTAAATGGAAAGAATGAGAATGGATATGTGGTAGTTAGCATCATGACAAGAATGGTTTTCTAATTTTTTAGGGGGTGTTCTAGTTAAATAGAAAAAAGGCATTATTTAGTTTATCCAAGCATTCAATAAATAGACTCACTTCATAGTTATACAGTGCACCCTCTAATTGAGACCCCTCTGATCGAAACCACTTTTTTAAAGAACCAAAGAACAATCTTCAATCTACTAACACTAAAGCCTACCCTCTAGTAAGACCACCCCAAATTTTCAGGTCCCAAAGGTGGTCTCGAATTGAAGGGTGAACTGTACATACAATAAATACTAATGGTTAACAAGCATGTATAAATATACATGACAATACACATTGTATGCCAGCCGATTACATTATCTGTAGATTTTGATTTTTATAATTTCAACAGGATTTCACAATATTCAATGAGCTTTTGCAAATAAATAAATAAATCCATTAATATTATAGAGGGGCTAAAGAGTTGCTATTAAAATTGTTTTCATTATGAATGCCATAAAATAAATTTTTACATTTGAATGTTTTCTTCTTGTAGCTCAGATTTCAGTACCTCCCTCTTTCCTACTCAATATTTTATAAATGTAGAAATTCTTGTACAGTATTTACCATGTTGCATGAGGTTTGGAATGCATAACAGAAACACCGCCATCAACAGGGACAAGTAAGGACACGTTTGTTAACGGTATGGCAGGCTGGAGGGCACTTGGGTTGTACACATAGTCTACGCGTAGGTCTGTGGTGTTGGACTCACACTTCCAGTAACTGCACAGTTGTAAGGGTGTGGACTGAGCGTCTGGTTGTGCCCGCACCTAAAATTGAAATTTGAATGAGATGAGAAATAATAATTACTATATTGTAATATAGTAAAAATTAATAAATTAATATAGTGCAGGGGCGGATCTTGGGAAAGGGGGGAGCCATTTGACTGGAGAAAAAAGAATAGACAAAAGAAAGAAAAGCAAAGGAGAAAGAGGGGTACGTGGTACCAATAGGCCTACTCCAAAACAAGCTAATTTTCGATATAAATTCCATGTACTAATGTCTAAGGTAAAACATTTCTAAACAAAAATCTCAAACACCACCTCTACCAGCCACCCCCAACCCCCACTCGGTGCTACGCACTTCGCATCGCCTCTACCCAGATTTTTCTATGGATCCACCCCTGTAGTGTATCTGCTAGATTTCTCTATGCGTTTTATAAAACTTTGTTGGACAGGAAAGCACTACCGTGTTGGCCATTCTATTCTTTTTCTTGTTTGGTACAGCTTAAAATGGTCAAAAATTCCCTAGATTTTTAAGTGCCTCTACTAGGGCTTTGCTTTTGTACCCCACTAGCTTCTACGGATGTTGCAGGCAGATTCGCTACTGTCCAACAGCTTTAATCTAATGAAGTAAATTATTGCGATTTTCACCTGGTATTTTAGAATGTCTACATTGAAATAGGAAGCTTGTGTGTTCTTCTCTGCTTGACTCCGTAGTAAAGACACAAGCGCCGTCATGTTGAATGAATACACTTGAAGATTCTCAGAACTTTGTGCAACATCCCTGCAGAGGTAATGGTACAAACCATTAATATCCATTTTCATAATTAAATCATATATTTATTGTGTTGTGTAGGATACAGTATATATTTGGTTTTTTCAATTGAACTTTTAAGGGGTTTTTCCAGATCTCATCACAGAATATCGTTATTTTTCCGTCACAACATATCGTTATTTTTCCGTAAGTTTAATTTGACAAAAATGAGTAGAATCTGAGTAGAAATTCACAAAGAACAATTAGGTCTCATGAATTATTCATATAGCAATGATATAGATATTAATGAACTATTTCTAAATATGTTTCACTCACTGACTAACAAGCTGTTTGTTTGGCAAAACTTGCTCCAGTTTGTTAAAATTTCTGATGATGAAAGAGAGAACCGGCGGATTCGGGTTACTGGTGAACACATGGATGACACCAGCAGGAAACGACAGCATCATATCACCTGTGATTTTAACCATACACCTGCAAAAAATAAATATTAAAAAATAATTGTCACAAAAATATGTCAATTAGTTGTTAAAACATGCAAATGATTTATTATGAAACTAAAAACTTTTAATGTACACAATTGTTGAAATATAAAATTATATTCAAATTTGGGTGATAAGGATCAACATTAATCATCCCCACCACAATATCATCATCCTCAACATTATCTACCCTATTGTTATTAATATAATCAAGTTTGAGCAAATCCCTTAAGAAAATTATGGTACTAACCATCAATATAATTTTCATAAGCAAAAACATTTTTTGGACTTTTCACAGAATGTATTACCTAATTGCTTTTGCTAATTCTTATCATATTGATATTATAATGTAAATTAGGTGAATTACAATAGAAAAGGATGATTCTGATGCCAACATTACTTCATAGTAATCAATCAATCAATCATTATTGTATGATTAAATGTATACACAAATTATTCAATTATATTTTTATCTCACACTTCACATGATTTAGAAATTATCCATTATTTTGATCTTTTTTGCAAGAGTACAAAAGTGGGGATTGAGAGTGTAGACTTATATAGTATATTATGAAAAAGATAAAAGGATGATCTCAAAAGGACAAAAATTATCATTTTATTGTTTACTCTTTGAGGGGGAGTGGGTCATCGAAAAAAGTACTTATTTTACCCCCTTGAAAGTACATTTTACCCTCTTGAAAATGATGAAAATAATGAATGACCTCTAACAATGAACTAATCACCGATACAACTTACTTGGATTGATCTATTCCCTTGAAATATGCATTAACGGTTTCAATAAAGGCTGCTGCTATTGGTATAGTGTCCGACATGCCTAGTGTCAGAGGGCTAGGCCCACGTGAGGTGCCGATAGCAGGTGATGAATTGAATGTTCCCAAGCCTGTTAATGAGGACGAGCTGTCTTGACGTGGTAAAGGTAATGGTGGTGGTTCATTGAATGCTGGGCTGGGAGACTGAAAATGTTATAAGTAATTTTGTTATAAATGTAAACAATTACAAATTCGAATAAAAACATGTAATTTTTCAGATAGTAATTCCCCTCCATATCACTATCATATTCTCATCATTATTATGTTTCAAATTATCATTATTAACAACGTGTAATTATATTATTAGTAGTTATTAATTAATTAAGCATCTTTATTGTATTTAAGTCTATGGTAATACTGTAATCTGTTTGATGATTACCCTCAAGATCATGTTTTAAAAAAAGAATGGATCAATTAAAATAGCACAGAAAAAACAAAGAATCATATGCACCTGAATACTTCTAGGCCTAGAAGACGGTCTTGTTGGTGGTGGTGGTAAGGAGTTGAACGACGGCCCTATACTGTGTCTGCTCTTAGCTGGTAGCGTTGGAGGCAGTATATCATTTACACCGTGTGGACTCTGTAGGATATCACTGCTTGCTGTGAAATGAGACAATAAAGGCAGAGAATAAATTAGTATGCGACTATCTCTCAAGGGATATTGGCAAATTCATATAAAGCCGGCTACAGTCTCCAAAAATACATCACTTTTTCCACGAGTCTTTTAATGCATTAATCTGTATGGTTAGGGATTACCGATAGATATGAGATAAAAAGGGGGAGGGGAAAATATGCAGCGAATACAATGAATGAATTTACTACCAATGCACAATGACAGATAGTTAAAACAGAGCTAATGTTTATCAAGGTAGTGTCAGCTAGGAAAGGAGTCTTGTGCATAGTAATGAGGTTGATTGCTCAGACCTTGTGATTATTTCACAGATCTCATAATCACCACCCATTCAGATCGTTTGTCGTTCTGTTTATAATATTTTGATGTATTAGATGTAGGCTTTGGGAGTTGTAGGTGAATGTTTAGTCATGACCACTATAAGGAATATTTCAGCTTTTGTTTGATGATGGTATTTTGTTTAAAGAAATAAACGAGTTGGTCATTGTTGTAAATAGCTGAAGCATGAGCTTAGTGGCATTTGGGAATAATTAACATGAAAGAAATTAAAGTTAATTCAAAAAGATTAAATGAAAAAGAATAGAAATAAAAGTTGGATAAAAATATATTCAGATGGAATATTTCTGTTTTAAAGTATTTATAATGTGACCCACAATGTTGTTATGAAACTTCTATATAAAATAAATAATGAAAATAATAATATACATTAATAAACCATAAACAACTTTATAATGGACACTTTATGGTGGATATCGGTGAAATACAAATGTTAATTAATGACTATTTATAGTGTTATTATAAATACATGTTATATTATCATAATTATTATACTGTAATACTTTTTATAATTTTATTAAATTATTAAAATGTTTGAAAATTTAAAAATGATGTTGTTATAAATTTCATCTAACCAAATACCCAAGATACATATCTTGCAATAGAAAAAAAAGAAAAGAATTATTCCATAAAAAAAACACCACCATTTTACTATTTCTCAAGGGAAGTGTATTTAATACTGTATCAAAATAAACAATGGATTTTAAATTAACTGAACTGGTTTTGACATTGTGTGTGAGAATATGCATATTTGTTGTTGTCTATTTCTTCAGGTCAAAAATCTGTTAGAAAAAGGCATGCCACAATGTAGCCATGCTAAAAATAAACCACAAAAAAAAAATGCCTGTTTAGTAACAAAGACGATTGATGCTTTGCTATGCCATGGCTATGCTTTCCACATGAACAAACATCAGTTATTGAACACAAAAATGGTAATAATAATTATTAAAAACAATATAAATAATTATCACCTATTAATTAAAATTTCAAAATGCACTAGTCCATCAAATACAAGTATTAGAGAATCATTCAATTAAATCATAACGTTAAATAAATTATACATTATAAAATTTAAGCTTTAACTGTTTTAAAACTCATATAAAAATATTCTAATAACTAGTTCTTTCGAATTGGTTATTATTATGATTCTTCTCATGAAATATTATATTTTGTTCTTCGCAAGTATTATATTCTTAAGGTTATATATTTCTGCAATAAGTTTTGGCTGTTTATTTGCACCAAAAATAAGGTAAAAAATGAACATCTGAAAAATATCATGGCTAATGAAAACTTCAGAAAAATTTGCTACAAACCTGAAAATACATCCTAGCTATTATTGTTTACAATTTTTTATGAAAAAGCATTGCTAAAATAAACTTAAGTAGTGCTATAATGAAGTGTAAAAAAGCAAAGAACCTTTACCAATTAATTAGACACAACTAATAAAATATGGAATAGAAATGTTATTCTTTTATGATCCCAAGTGTACCACAGATTGTATTTGCAGTGAGTAATTACTTAAATTAAGTTATCCATCTAACATGAAGTGTTCAAATTACTGATGCCATATTTCAAAACATCTATCCTATTTTATAATAGATTTATCTATTTCTTAATATCTTTAATTTTTAGCAGCAATATAATTTCTAATGACTTCTCTTTGAAAATGCAAAATTAGCATTTGCCTCTTTGTTAGTTAAGCTATTAAAAAAATACACCAAATATGCAAATCAAAATCAAAGGAAAAAGCTTCTATAGAAATATAGGACCATTATGCATTAGCAATATTGACATATCTACATATAACGATACAGAGAATCTCTGAGCAACCAAAATAGCCATTGGTGGTCGGATAAACTGCTCGCACAGTTTAGATTATCAGTACAAAGTGTGATTACAATAAAAGTATAGAGTATTACGTCATGGTAACACACATTGTGCCGCTTCGTTACTGAGCGACTCAGCATTCCCACAGCTAGCCTGTTTTATATAGCTTTTCAACGAAAGCATTAGAACTTAAAAAATGTTTGATTAACATCATAATAAAAACACAAGAACAGGGCACATAGTATTGATCCTAGATATAACTGTCAATATATTGTTTACAAGGCAAAATAAAGAAATAAAATTGTAATTTTATTAAGATAGAAAGTTATGCCATAAAATGCCATGTGGACTGTAGCTAGGCTGTGGAGGTACTAAGCCGTACGCCTTGGGTAGTGTTGCCCAGTAACGAAAGGTGTCACATGATGTTTTGACATCACTGATGCATAATTGTATATTATGCATTGTTATTAGTTACATTCCACGATATGTATGTTTTCATGCGGTACAACAAGCAGCTTACACATACGCCGTGCACGCTTACTCAAATCCTGAAGGCTTCTTGAAAATGTTGATATCTTCTGGACTACAGGAGGGCGTGAACCGTGGGCTGTATGTCTCTTAGTTGGCATAGTTGAGTAAGTAGGAATGTATCGTCCGTATCGACGGGAATTGGGGTACTTCCGTGAATTGCGATTGTCTGAATGACGCTGAGGCAAAGGTGGTGGTTGGATTATATGCATGGTGGAGTGCGTGTGTTTGTCGGGTTGAGGTGATGGCGTGACTGCCGTTCGATCTACTATCAAATATGGGATACTATTTAGTAGTATGTGGTGTCATCAGTAAAAACAATAAAAAAATGTATATAAATAAATAAAATAAAAAGACAATAAGTGTCTACATAAAAAGAGTAAACAATAAAGAATAAAGCGAACTGTTCTGATTTGAATCCCCCAAACAAATTGGAAATAAAATGCATGCATAAAATAAATTCTGAAACTATCTGCATTTTATGTAAAGTATTGCCTATGTTGAGAAATATCACACCTCATAACATTAACTTTGCTAAGCTTCAACATTTATTGGGAACATCATTAAAGCTGACAATGCTGACCAAAGCAAACATTATCAAATAATTGTCTCAATGACCAAAGTCATAAAAAAATGTTTATGTTAAAATATTGTGTGTTAAGGAAATTGAGAGCCTGAACTAAAAGCATGAAGATTAAACTAAAAGTAAGTATTTCTATGAGCATTGCAATAATTGTGATGTGTGAAAATCAATCAATCAATTAATTAATCAATCAAACAATCAAACAACTATTCTACTACTCTATCTATCAAATTCACTCAAATCAATCAATCAATGATTTAATAATTATTTAGCCAACAAATAAATCACTGTATCAACAAAATCATCAATCAATCATCAATCAACTAAATCTAATGAGATTCTTGAAAGATTTATTACATAGTATAGAGTACAACAGTTGTGTCGTCACAACACCAGGTTGCGCCCTTGTTGTCAACCAGATGTTGGTTACCGTTCACTACACCTGAATGACTTCACAATCTTAATGGTTTAGAATAGACTTTCTGGAATAGGCATTTTAAAACCTAATAATTTACCATCAAAATGTACTAAAAACACAAAAGCTCACATTATATTAGTTATTGAACACACATTTAATCATCAATTAAAGTTTACAGAGAAAAATCAAGATACATCTTAATAATTAGGTTATAAATTTGGATCAATGGTTTGTCAATGGAGAAAATGGATTCCGTTGAATGCATTTTGAGTCGCTGATAGCAACGGAGTAGTATCACAAGGTATCGTGGCATAACAGTGTAGTACTCTATATATAGAATAATCTACATATAAATGAATCTTTAATATACATCAAAGAAAAGATATCTAAATGTATCTGGTTTAAAGTTCTCATCTCTCTCTCTCTCTCTCTCTCTCTCTCTCTATATATATATATATATATATACATGGATTGGACACCAAAAATGTCATTTATCTCATATATTGTAATATTTGTGGCAAACAATATGTCGGAGAAACAAAAAACACTCTCCGTATGAGAATGACACAACACAGATCAGCTAAAAAAATAGCAACACAGCAGTCAACCAAAAGTTTTACTGAAAAATCATATTTACAAGAATATTACAGTATTACAAAAAATTAATCTAACTTGCCTTAAAAAATTTCAAAAATTACATTTACAAGAAAACTAATAGTTGCATAATTATAATTAAATAATTCATTATTATTATTATTACTATTATTATTACATGTATTGATTTATTATCAATGCTAATAGACTGAGCTGGAGGCGGACTGCCAGTGGCATCAAGTAGTGTAGTTGTATTTATTTACCTACATGGTGTTAGAGAATCTACTCACTGACAGGCAGACAAAAACTATGGTATATTCAGACATTCAATCAAGCATGGACGTATATAACACAAACTCTCAATGCAACAATTACTTCAATTCAGTAAATACATAAAAGATCACAAAGTTGTAAACGGAACTTTCATACACAAACAAAACAGAAACAAATTGGAGTACCATAAAAATATAAAAAGTTTTGCTTTTAACTTTAATATCAATTTTATTTTTATCTAAAAATATTACACTTTTATATTGACCTAAAGACAATAATTGGTAAACTTGTTTTAACTTACTTTCACTAGAAGTTGGAGAGGTACCACTTATGGTGTCGCTATGGTGAGACATCAAACTTGAACCGCCAGGTGATGTGCTTAATGGGTCAAAGGCCATAAGGTCACTGTTGCTTTTCGTACTGTTATTAGAGCTGCAAGTAGAAAAATAAGTTTTTATTGAATTTCTATAGCATATATATACTGGCCTATAATGGTTTGATTAGTGTCATTGTAAGGCGACTAACATTTTTCCAACATGGTAGGGCCACCCACCCAGCATCACTATCACATGGTCTTCCTATATCAAATCAGCTGATTCTATTGAGTCTTTCAAAACCCTTCTTAAAACCCTTCTTTTTAACAACATTTGCAGAATTCACATGATATGTCTTTCCATTTTTTTCTCTGGTAAGGCTTTACAGCTGATGGATGTGCTTTCATTTGTCGGGTGTCGAGAGCTTGGCCTCTCCTGTTCATTAATCAAGACAACGTCATCGACTTTTGCAGTGCACAGAGGTAGAGTCGAGGACTTATTCTGAGGTGGAAGCTACCAGAGCCCAGCAAACTGCCTAATAGATTACCTGCATGCACCTGGGTGTGACAGCGACATTTTGAGATCAGAGGGTGGAGTCCTGTTCAGGACAACTATGCCAATAATGCTCATACATTTCGGAACTGTTTTTAGTTTAAGTAGTTTAAGTTGAATCTATTTATTGCTTATGGTTTGTTGTAAAGCACATTGAGGCTTTTTGCGGAATGCGCTATAAAAGAATTGACTTATTATTATTATTTAAAGTGTTGACATAAAGAGCATTGCTTGTCTCAAGACTGCCAAACAATGCATGCCAGTTTTATTTATTTTTTCTTCTTTTACACACTACCTTCATCCTCTTCATTGTGACCTGGTAAAGCTAAGAAGCTAACTCAGTCAAAGACCTCTTTGAACAGTCGGACCCAGCATATACCTGGATGCTAAAGATGACTGCCACAGTGGGGAGGAACAAACTGTTCCTTAAAAGTGACTTATACATGTGACTTGCACATGTGTGACATGACATCATCATGCCCATATATGGGTGAACCAGATATATTTGTCACAGAAAATTTGATAGTATGGACAGAGCATATAGCCTAAAGGTCCATCCACACTATAAAATTTATGTGACAAAAAACTGTGATATGTCCATATTTGGATGTAATATGACATCATCATGCCCATATATTGGTGAACCACAGATATATTTGTCACAGAAAATTTGATAGTGTGGTCAGAGCATATAGCCTAAAGGTCCATCCACACTATAAAATTTATGTGACAAAAAACTGTGATATGTCCATATTTGGGCCCATATATGGGCACATCACACACATTTGATAGTGTGACTGGAGCTTTACATCGAGGGAATAATAGCACTATCAGAATTCAGGGGAAATATTATTTCTGGTTTAACATGCCTTCCATCAATATACTATAAGTGAGGGATGTATCTTGCTGACATCACTTCATTTAATGCAACACACTTGCTTTAATTACAATACATAGATAGACAGATTTTAAAATTTCTATAGTGCTGGTTAAAATGGATGTTGTCACTAGCGCTTTACAATAAATACATAATAAAGGGCAACAATAAAAAAAATAAAATGGTAATAATAATAATACTAATAATGATAATAATAATCGTAACAAGAATAAGAAAAAATAAGACAAATAATAACAATAAAATAAAAAAACACACACAAAAAAAAATAATAATAAAGAAAATAATTAGAACAATGAAAAATTTATTGACTGTGTAAGTCGAACTGAAACTAAGGAGGAAAAGCAAGGGAAAAGATCTGAGGTGAGACTAGAATAGAATTTTAACTTTCACAATAAGTTGTTACTTTAGTTTGAGGCATATGCAGAGAGATATAAATGATTTTTACAAATGGAAAGAAGAAGAAAAAGAATGGCAACATACCTTCTGCTCCCAATCTGTGTTCGCCGCTTAATGTCACCATCTGAAATGATGAAAATGAATAGAATTTACTTCAATTAATAAAAAAATAGATTAGTTAAGTTAGGTAACAACATAATTGTTGTACAACATTAAACTTTACCATGATTAAAACATATTTAAGATTGTTTGAAATTTCTACATTACACATAACATGTGTCAACGGTGCTTCCAGTATGGCTTTTGAACTATGTATTATATAATTAAAAATGTTACCTATATGTCTCTTATACATAGCTGCAGTATATATCTGAGCAGTTATTGTGTGGTATCAGCATACATGTGTGTAAACCAGAAATCAAAATGGTTCATTTGTAAAACTAGAAATAATGCACGAAATAAACTGTCTGATGTTAAGCATGTTTAGGAGCATCAAGAAAGCCATTACAGTATGGTAATGGCAGTGTAATGGGGACTTAGTCACTAGTATTTTGTCAAAGTAGATCTGGGATCGCATTTATGAATATTCATAGAATTAAACGAAAATATTAACTTTACAAATGAATAGATTGACCTTTGGGAATGACCACTAAAATGATCAGCTAGGATGATAAAAAAAAAATTACCTTTTGTCGAAGTACATCTGGAAGTTTTGTATTTAGAAATATTCATAGAGTTCAATAAAAATACTAATTTTACAAAAAATAGAGAGATTGACTTTTGAGAATGACTACTAAAATGATCAACTTGGATAATCAAATATGACCTTTGGGAATAACAATTGAAAATGACCAGTTGGGATCAAGGATGACCACTGGGAATGAGCACTAAATCTAAAGGAATCTGGTATTTATATTGAATCGAAACAATGCAAGTTTCAGAGAAACAGGATTAAAATGACCATTAAGATGACTATTAAAATGAACAATTCAAATGACAATTAAAATGTAAGTTACACATGATGTTAAAATGATGATTAAAATGACTATTACAAATGACCATTGAAAATGATAAGAAAAACTAATAATCAAACTTGATGTTTGAGATTCACTTATAAGACAGGCCATTGTCAATTACGAGTACCATACATACATAATTAAAAATTTGACTTACTTGACTTGTCTCGCCTCATCTGCAGTAAGAGAAAATGATATGCAATTAGTTATTAACTACTAAAAACTGGAGACATTGTAAGTTTATAGATAGCTATGACAGCTCCCAAGACAGATAAAAACGGAAAATACAGGTAGAGGCGCTATATTATGTTTACCGCTAAAGAAGCCATCTAGCTAATATTTATTAAAAACAGAAGAGAATTTTTTCCACTAGCTTAGGTATACCTAGACAGATTATTAGTGGACAGGTAGAGACAGAATTTGTGTCCATGAAACCTGACTCTGTTATTACATTTTCCACTAAATTAGATATACATGCAGTCCTCTACCAGTACCATCTATAAGCAGAAGAAACATTGTTTACTAATAAACAATAAAGGTAGCTATAACAAGACAGTACTTACTGCTGGTGATAGGGTAAGTTTTTTACCAGCTAAGGAGGCTTTGATTTCATCAACTGATGCCGCTGTGTTTCCTGAGTTCCCGTCTGGCACGATTGGTTTGATTTCAACATGGATTTTGCGAGGAGGCTTATCATTATAGTCAGAATCGGAATCAGACTCTGAGTAAAAAGTTTCTGCCTTAAAACCATGTGATTTAATTAATTAAGAAAAATAACGAATAAAGAATTAACTATTCTTTCATAAACAGAAATCAATATTATAGACCGATCCAATCACAGTGATTACTCTCCATCTACAGACGCCATAGCTGGGAATTCGGTAGGGACTGTTATGCATCATCTGCTACAAAATCTAAATATCAAAATTATAGTACGTACTGTAAGTTGTTTTCATCGTAATCTACTCTTAATACTTTGCACCACCGTACATGGAACTGACATGCAAGCGGGGGATCCCAAGGAGGTCTCCAGCAATGACGGCGCCAATAGAGCGCCCTCTTATAACTGGAGTTGTGTATATGTTTGATCTAAACAAGGATATCATCCGTATTGTCTGGTCGAATAGTGTAGCCATCTTCATCAACTTGTGGTGTATTCTAAAAAATGAGAACAAAATACAATCTTAATATATTATTTTTTAGTTATTATTATTAATAAAACAATCATATCCAATAGATACATGAATGAAATTATCAATTAGAATACAGAAGAATATATTTATCGAAAAAATACATTTATGATGACATGCACAAAAATGAATCTTTAATATTAGGAATACATATAATAATTTTATCATACACATTTTGTACAAAAAGATGTTCAACAATACTGAAATGCACAAAACAAAATGGTAAAAAAATAAAAAATATTAAAAAACAATAAAATCGCAATTCAGTATTAGATGAAAACCTTTCAAACTTGTTATTAACATATATAATCTGTGATAAAATCTGACAAAAATCAAGATTTAAATTAATGTGAAGGGGATCAAATATGTCAGCAGTTCTCAAACAAATGACCAGGTAATTGGCCACAACCAAAAATGAGTCATTAATTGGTATAACAAAATTGAAGTGAAACTGTTCCAATGATTTGTTGATTTATATAAATAAATGGAAAGGAAAGGAAAGGCAGTAAAATTGTTTGAAGTAGTGTTCCTATATTTTATACATTAAGTTGTATATATTGCAAGGAAGGCCAATTATGAACTGAATTGATATTTTATTTCGCCAATTTTTAAATTTAAGAAACAGGCCTGTTTTCCTAAAATGGCATGATCAAAAGGAAAAAGAAAAGTGAACAACTTGACAGTCAAAATTGGGGGGTGGGGGGAGGCATACATATTCCCCAATTTTTAAAAATAAAAACAAGCATTTCATTCTTTAAAAGTCATGCACAAGAACTGTGTAAAGATCATTGTCACGATTAGTAGAGAAGCTAAATGAAAGATGGAAATGATAGTACAACAAACTTTAGATTGGAGAAAAAAAACCATACAATATCGAAGACAAGAAAACTCCTTAACATCGCTAAAGAGAACATAACACAAAGAATATGAAGATTTCACCTAAAAATAGAAATTTGAAAAACAATGCATAATAAATGAATGAAAACTACCAATTAATCAATCAACCACTGAATACTGTACATGTACATATATAGAAAAGGTTTCACTAAAAACAATAAAATGACAGAAATAGATATTAGGTTTTAACTATTGTATTTAAAATCAAATAGTTTCTACTTGACTTACTTGCGACGTCCAATAGAAAGAATCTAATTTTAAACATTAACTTTACCTCAATGACTGAGAATATTCATAAATGAATTAGGTTTAAAGATAAAACAGAACTACATAACATTATTCTGGAAAATATATACAATTTCTGTTACAAAATACGTCAACACTTTCTAAATGCATGTATATATATATATATATGCACACAGAAAGTGTTTCATAACAGAAATTGTATTTATTCTCCAAATTGTCAACTATTTCTTTATTGTTTGTCTCCAACACATACTATTCTTCATAATACATGGAACATACATGCAACATCTAGCCTATGATTATTTTAGCATAATAGCTGTCTCTTATACACATCTAGATGTGTATAAGAGACAGATAGAATATATATATATATATGTAAACTCAAATGATAAATCGTTATATTGTGTCCAAATAAATATCAAAGTTTTTTTACGACTATTACAAACATACATGGATCTACATACTATTGTTTGCTTAATACATAACACCATACACATGCACATAAGAAACATCTGAGAAATGTGAATGACACAAATTCATTCCGTGAATGACTCTTGTTCATGTGAACAAAAAAGAATGTGGATGAATAAAAAAAAATACATCGATCTACTAGTACAATACAACTTTACATTTGGTAGGGTGGGATGACCGACAACAGGGTCGGGTTCTGTGTCTTGTACAAGCTCACGAAATGTGCGTTGTTGACTCCCAAGGATGTCCTACATACAGACAAAACAAAGAGAACAAATGGTGGGGGTAATCTATGACAAGTGGAGGTCATGAGTGGAGCTGTGTTATCTGGGGTCTATCAACTTTCAGACAGTGTTGTGTGCTAGTGAGCCCTCAACTTGAAAGAACACTTAGGTGTTGGCTAGGGAATTGACAAATTCCACAATATCATAGTAATTAACAAGAGCAGAATTATGGCCAGAAATATGTGACAACAGGCCAGTGGTATGAAATACCTGGTCGGTGGTATTCAACACCTGGTCAGTGACATGAAACACTTGGACAATACGGCACGGAATACGCAGGCGTACACTTTTTATTTATTACACATTTGACAAAAATGACATGGGCTAAGAGCCCATCATCTAAGTGGTCATCACCTAAAGCTCTTTGAGATTTTATGTGACAAATAGAGTGGTGTTTTACCATACCTGACGTGTTAGTGTACCGAATATTCGGCATGTTCCCAAATACTTGCGAAAAAAATTCCCGAGTGATTCGGGTCGGAATTTAACCCACGACCTCCAGATAACTAGCCTGGTGCTATAACCACTAGACTACTAAGCTTGCACTTAGTTTTCCTGATGCAAACTCACATCGATGTGAAAAATACCTGTGGTTTACTTATATACAGTAGGTATGATGATTTCATCATCACCACCAAACAGTATATGTGGGCAAGATACATATTTATGAATAAGACTAAGTTTTGTATAAATATAAAAGATATTTTTTAGAATAAACTTGGTATTGTGGATAATACTATAAAACTCTGTTAAGTTACTTTGCTAAACCAATAATATAAATAAACATGAAATATTAATATAGGATATAAAATCTGTGTCCTAAACATTTCTATTGTAGTAGTAGCAATAGCGGTAAGTAACAGCAGTGGAAGAAGCAGCAGCTATATCAGCAGCAGTAGTACGATATTGTTACTAATACCCCTTTTACACTGCCAAGGGCAGAATCGACCCGGGTTAATTCCAGAGTGATCCCGGGTGCATTTCCCATTTACACAGAACAGAAAAGTACGGGTTGATCCCGAGATGGCAGGCCTCGCCCAGTCACGGCACGCGCCCGGTCCCGCTTCACTCCCCGGCCCGACCGACCCAGCCCTTAGAGCCAATCCTTTTCCCGAAGTTACGGATCTAATTTGCCGACTTCCCTTACCTACAGAGGCTATTCACCTTGGAGACCGGCTGCGGTTATGGGTACGAGCCGAGGCGAAAATCAGTCGGTGTCCCTCGGATTTTCAAGGGCCGGCGGCTGTCTCTTATCCACATCTAACCTATTAGTATTAATTATAGTTTATGTGTGAATGACCTTGAGTTGTTCCACAGGGTAGGAACCCTATCTCATGCATATGCATAATAGAACCTACTGTATTGCAGCATGGCCCGTTAGCGAGGTCAAAGGTCATTGACTTCTGATGAGAGTTTATTGTTTATGCTTGTTATCTTTATTTAAAAGTTTCTTTTTTTTTAATGTTAATTAGTTTAGTTCATTGATATGTGTATTCTGTACACAGAGCACTAGTTCATTTAATTAATTTTATATATATTATTCGCTCTATATTAGTTATGATTTGTTATATAATCTATAATAATGTGAACATCATTGACTATGTCAGGAGAGTACAGTAATTTAATGTTACTCTTACATTTATATTTACTCAGTTACGATATAAGATATTTTCTTACCGTTTTATGATTATGTTAATACCACGATAATTTATATTTTGGTTAGTTAAGTAAGTTTAAGCATTTGATTTGTCTTATACATTCTTTGTTTAGACTTGAGACTTAATGAGTTTTATTTATATTTTATCGTAGGGGTTTTGTGTACGTTCGCTTACGTCGCTATTGTTTATTGGTCAAAAGATGTTGCACTGCAATTAAAGAATCTTGAAATCATAGAAGCAAATTTGAGTGTCTTATTTTGCGTTCTACAAAAAGATATAAAATCTGTGTCCTAAACATTTCTATTGTAGTAGTAGCAATAGCGGTAAGTAACAGCAGTGGAAGAAGCAGCAGCAATATCAGCAGCAGTAGTACGATATTGTTACTAATACCCCTTTTACACTGCCAAGGGCAGAATCGACCCGGGTTAATTCCAGAGTGATCCCGGGTGCATTTCCCATTTACACAGAACAGAAAAGTACGGGTTGATCCCGAGATGCTCCTATTTTACACCGGCAACGAACTCGGGTTCAAATACAGCCCTCAATTTTTGTTGTAATGGTGATCATTACTTCGCTCAAGTTCCTCGTCGTCACGAAGCCACAATTATTGTCAATATTGAAGCAATGTACCTGCAGATTGTTTTTAAATTATGCGAATTAAATCAGCAGTTTTGATATCAAGTCTATACCAGTGTGTAGAGGAATTAATTTGAAAAGTGTCTAGGCATAGCCCGTTGTTAATAAAATTTAGGCCTACCTGATCACAGCTGCGGTAGGCGCAAGGTAAGGCCTAGGCTAATTCCGGAATCAAATTCGGTGCTGTTTACACTGGCGACTCCGAATGCACCCGGTTTGGCCTACGCTGAATGCGTCCAGCACGTCCATCTCGGAATGTTTGGCAACCCGAGACAGACTTTTTGACGTCTACACTAACCACAACTCAGGAGATTTTAACCCGGGTATTGGAAAATCCCGGGTTACGTCCGGAATTTTGCTTGCAGTGTAAAAGGGGTATATCATACTATGTCATATATATTACAGTTAGTAGAAAATAGTACACAGCTGACACACACATATATTATAATGGTTACATCAACATGATACAAATTATGAATAATTCAGTATTCAAGAATATTAGTACACAGTACATAACAATACAGTACAGCAATTTCCAATGGTTGATACAAATACAAACATTTTGACGTGTTTAGATGTGCTACTACTTATACAGTTTTAGCTTTCTTCGTTAACATTTTTTAAATTTTTAATTACAGTACCTAAATAATGAAGCTCGATACTAGCATCACACATTTGGTACATACATATAGAAAATTACATATAACACTATGCATTTAATATCTTTAAACATGTTGAATTTATATAATTAAGTCAGAGACAATGAAAAAAGATTTGTGAAACAACATAATAAACCACAGTTAATACACAAAACCACATTTAACAAAACAAAACCAAATTAAAAGAACAAAAGTACAACTAGAAACTAATCCAAATTAATAAAAAGTACATAAAGAGTGATTACAATTATTGCATTAACTAAATGCTAGTTGACATTTATAAGATATCAATATATAAAAAAAGTGGAATGTTTTGTTCTGTAAAACAAATCAACCAGTCATTCTTTTGATGTACCTCTGCTACATAATTATCACCCATACCTCACTAACACCTCTTCTAAACTACCATCAGTGCTTTCATTTTTCAGCAATACAGTAAATTCTAAACATCACAGGCACCCCTCCCTGATGTACCATCTACCAACCAAAATACTATCACTTGGCGTTCTGTGTAGCCTCATTTAAGATAAGCTAAAACTAACACTCTATAAACAAGTAGAATATTCTATATCTATGATGTATGTTTTTTCTTGTATCTGTCGATCCCTCCAACCTCTGAATTGTCTATATGGAAGTGGTATGACACACAATGCCCGATATGGCCAAAATCACACAAATCTGCCACATAAAACTTTTATCTTCTCAGGTCTTTGCCTTTTTCCTCCTTTATCCTACTTTTGTATTATAAAAATTATCATTTTTTAAATATATATTTTTGCGAAAAGAATGTTACATTAAATTAAATTTAATTACAAAGTGAAGAGCCATTGCTTCCAGTACTTTGAAATTTGCATTGTAAATAAAAGTAGATGAAGTCTTTGAAAGATTACATCTGTTAACAGCTGGACTTCATCTGAGAAGTACCTCTTACAGTGAAAGTAATTTCTTACTTTCAAATGATCCTACCACAACTCTTTAAACTTACTTCTAACCCCTTTTCCCCAAACTAGTTATATAAGATTTAAAAAAAATAATAGTGCTGATATATAACATGGAAATTTAAATTTATACAAAAACATACATCCCAAAATAAAAGGCACCATAAGCTGTCTGTGCACTTACTAACACAGTTATGAAAACACCTAAAATTATCTTATGATAATATTGAAAGTCTTTCAATAGTGAAAATAAAAGCAAATTGTGAAATAAGAAAATTATGGGTAAAACCCACAAATGTAAAAAATAAAATACGTAAATCTTAGTAAAAAAAAATAAGCAACTAACATTGAATGATCTGAAAATGACTATGCGTTACAAAAAAGGGGGTTTTAAAATCAAATGTGTGGTATACAGATATGCTTGAAGGCTAAACCAGCGCTTGAATTGGACAATACATGATTGATAAGTGTCAAGTAGTGGCCGCTACTGCAATGAACAGCCCCACAAGGTCCTTAGCTTAACTAATAATGGTGCCTCCTATTGTGCCAGCATTCGACAAAAATAGGTGCTCATGGTTTATTATTATCTTGCTCACTCTCCTCCGTTCCCTGGGTGTACAATATTCTTAGTCGTGCAGGTAACTTAGCACCAGTGCCTCATGCAGTGACATTCACAGTAAAATTGACGAACTAACAAGCAGAAACCTTTGAGTTTCTATACAAGTGGGACAAGCTTTTCAGGTCTGTACTAAACAAAAATCTATTAGACTGTGGTTAAGTACAGGTGTGTGTATGTGTTTGTGTGTGCCTATCTGTGTGAGCCCACAGACAAGTGGCTACACAGTTCATGTGGTTAGAGGGCACAGGTGGCCAAGCAAATTGTAACCACACCAAAACAGGCATTATGGACCCAAGCACTGGTTTACCCTGCCACTCACCACACGTAAATTTTTGAATGAGCTGAGTGATATGTTGCTTTGACTCGTTGACACTCGCTGCTGTAAATTTGCCTAGATAACACAAGATGAGTAATTGGATTTTTGTTTACTTATAAAATGTTATGTAAACCACTGGATCTTACATTACTTAATTTAAACTTACATTTAGTAATGATTACCATTTAATATACATTGTTAGTATTGCTTTTTCATGAAAATTATTTATAATAATAAAATAAATAATTATAACACCTTATGGTTAGTACAACAGAATCAAACAGTATTAAAAGTATGAATTGCTAAAATGTTGCCAAATTGTTTTGAATGTCCACATATTTACCTTTTTCTGCCATACTTAAATACAAAATGATATATATAAATGTAAAAATCAACTTACCACTTCAGGTGATTCTCTGCAAAAAAAAAAAAAAGTAAAATACAATTTTTAACAAATAATTTTGTATGAAAATTCCTTTACAAAAATGCATTGATGGAGCACATTGTCTAATTTGCTTATTATAAAAATTAAAAATGTCAATAAAAACTATGAACATAAATTTTTTAAATATATTTTGTGTACTGTATTATGCCCTGTCCAGGCTATCAAACTATATTTGACAAAAATGTGACATGCCTAAATATGGTCATAATGACATCACATCATGACCATATATAGGCACATCATGACTATATATGGGCATACAACAGTTTTTTGACATCTGATAATCTGAATAGAGCTTTTGCAGAAGAATGATATAAATCTGGGTTAATACTGGCATTCGCTATGCCACGCACAAGTTGACACCACTTGTTGAGACCACAAGCTGAGACCATGTTACGTTTGCGTAACGCATGTCTAAACATAGCCATAATCTTGCTGTGCTCCCAAAACTCAAACTTTTGTATTAATAGTAAAACAATCTACTTACGTAGCTTATCTCTTCCTGTGCCTTTTGATTTAACATATACTTCAATCAATTTCTGTTCCGTCATGTCTTCACACTCCTGGGAAAACTCCTGTTGGATCTGTATCAGACAAACAAATGAGAACTTACTGTGGGATAGCTTGCTTTTATTTTTCTCTTTATCTTTTTCTCCCTCTCTGTCCTTTTCACTCTGTTGTTAATACCCTGATCAACTTCATCATCACTGTTAATAAAATTAATATAACAATCTACCTCACCATCATTTCTACCTCCATACCTAACACCATCATCTTCAACACCACTACCACAACTGCCATCACTACAATTACTAACAGCATTATCATCAATAACAACACTATTACCACAACTACCTTCAAAATTATTATCACCATGATTACCATCATCGTTAACAACATCAACATCACCACCTCTACCATGAGCACTGGACACCACCGCACTAATATCACTGGCACAACATCATTATCATCACCACTACCAACACTGGCATCATCAACGAGGTCTTCACACCTATCACCACTACAACTGGTACCATAAAAATCATTATCACCACAACCAATATCAACACTGGCATTAACATAATCTTTACACCTATCACCACTACCACTGGTACCATCAGCATCATTATCACCCCAACCAATATCAACACTGGCATCATCAACATAGTCTTGACACCTATCATCACTACCACTGGTACCATCAACATCATTATCGCCACAACCAATATCAACACTGGCATCATCAACATAGTCTTCACACCTATCATCACTACCACTCGTACCATCAGCATCATTATCACCACAACCAATATCAACACTGGCATCATCAACATAGTTTTCACACCTATTATCACTACCACTCGTACCATCAGCATCATTATCAACACAACTAATATCAACACTGGCATTAACATAATCTTCACACTTATCACCAGTAATTAAGCTTTTTCTGATTTTGTTATTGTTGCACATCTTTACGGTTGTGCCTCTGTTATAAAAGAGAAGCAATAAAGTTACTTACTTCACCACTACCACTGGTACCATCGGCATCATTATCACCACAACCAATATCAACACTGGCATCATCAACATAGTCTTCACACCTATCACTACCACTGGTACCATCAACATCATTATCACCACAACCAACACTGGCATCATAAATATGCCCATGACAACTACCATCATCACCAGCACCACCAATTCAATATTACAAACCTGTCCCAAGGAGAAGTGACATTCCTGAACTGAACTACTGTATGATCGAATAAAATCTTTCATCTCCTTCAAGTGGCTCTCTTCTATTTGTTGAAATTTCTTTAAAAGAAAAAAGTATTAAGATTATCAATTTGTCTTACAAAAGCATTAAAATCATCATATAAAACCCATATTAAAAAATTTACACAGGCTCAATATAAGACAACGTGCTAATTTCAAGTTACTTTTGTTGACTTTCAAGTCACTTAGCTTTCATCAACCTATTTATTTAATACTCAATCACTTCTCCTAATATATTCCTCTTCGCCATCTTCATTCTTCATCTAAAAATCTCTTGACAGTTCTGTCTCATAAAGGCAAATCAAAAACTTATGGTCAACAAGCTTTTGCTTTTCAAGCCCCTTTACATGGAATTCCTTGTCGCTTTTTGTTTGCGATTCATCTAATTTGCTTTATTTTAAGAAAAATCTTAAAACTTATCTTATTATTTTAATTTACTTTGTTTAATGGATAGACATAATGCGCACACTGATTAATTAATTAATTGACTGATAATTAATACTTACATGGCTTGTGTCTGTCATCTGTTGCTCATAATCGTTCTTTAAGTTAGCGTACTTGTCAACCAGTGACTTGTATTCTTCCTCTGATAAAATTAAAAAGTTTACAAAAACTACCTCAGACAGGAGAGTTGGTTATTGGATACGGAATTGAAAACCAATTTATTTATTTATCAGTAACAGGTTTACATACTATTTTTTGAAAAAATATGAGCACATACAATTGTATTAACATTATGCTAAACAGATTTGCATAAACTTAGTTTACTATAGTGTTATCTTGGAACCTGGATTATCAGACATAATATTATTTATTTTATTTTATTCATTTGGCATGACGGCTCAGGAGTCACAAAAGCGGAAAGTCCACTGTCGCCTGAAGGACGTGCTGTGTTTTATTTTGCCAAGAACTCTACGTTATGAATTTCAAAGTATTACAGTGGTAATGCAAACCGAAACACAATCCCTATGTTAGCTCCACCCGCGTGATCTAATACCTAACTGTCCTTGTTTCGGGAATGTGTTTATGCACGTGTTGGTAGGTGAAAAAGTACAATGAATTGCTTAACAAAACAGTGGCTTAGCTTAGATCCTTGTTTAGTGAGAGCCAACATTTATTATTATTACTATTATTGTAAGATTGCATAGAGGATGTTTAGTCAACCTCAGTAGATTAGTCTCTGTATATTTACCAGGGTCAACCACTTCCTGATAAAGTTTTGTAACATCAACACAATTAAGAAAACAAATTCCGGCATTGTTATATCTACAATGAAAATTTTCAATATGTTATATATAGAATTTTAATAGTTTACTTGCAGAATTATTATTTTAGATCTAATTTACTCCAGTAGTATTGCAAAAAAAGTTTAGAGTTTATCTTATGTATATGTTTGTTTTTAAAATTAATTGTTAAATGTACATGGACCATGTTGAAAATTGATAAGGATGTTTAAATTAGGCCACTGAAACCTCACAGCTAGAGGAGTGTAATGCCAACCAAGTACAAAGAAGGGTTACTTTGGATTATCAAAAAGGTTTGCTAAAAATATGTGCAAACTATTCTATTCTTGTATGTGTCTAATGTTTAAGCTTGGTGGGTCTGAATCATTTTTATTATTTATTGTTTGATCTAAATACAAAAATCATATGCACGTTGTGATCATGGAATAATCTTTAAAGCTAATAATGTCAAGTGGAATAAGTAATGACATAAGTTACTGTACATTTTACTTTTCTGAAATATCATACAATTTTAATGTTTTTTTTAATATTATTTATGGAAACAATATTTAACAAGGCTCATGTGAGTTGGAAAAATGTCAGTAACGGTCATAGCTAAAGTTAACATATTTCTTAACAAAATATCCCTCTATTTCATATTTTCAAAGAAAGCAAATGAAAGAAAAAGCAATATTTACAAAAGATCAATAAGACAATAACAAACTATCATGAACCAGAAATTGTAGACGAAATCAGAACCGAAAAATCTACTAACATGACTATTATGAAAATAAAACTTGTATTCCTTAAAGATACATAACAATGTAAATTCTTCTAAAACTTTCTCCTTACACATTACATAGCAAATTTTAGTTCCTAGTCCACATATTAAGCGCCCTGAGCATATTACATTAGATGGATATGTGCGCTATATAAAACTACACTATTATTATTATTAATTTTATGATTGATACTTTTTATTATCAATTAATGAATCAATAATATAATAGGTTATGTCATTGTTTAGAATTCACAATATATATGGCATTATACTATTATAGTTCAATGTATAGTTGCTTTTTATATTGTTTCTCTTTAATTCAATATTAGTTTTGTATGCATTGTTTTTCATAGAACATATCAAATAAATCTAAACAAATGGTAAACAAATTACTTACTAGCTTTTTTATATTTTGTTTCCGCTTTCTCTATTTCCTTTGCTGTTGCATTTTCTCGCTTCAGTTTTTCGTGCTCTATACACCGTGTGTTGTAAATTTCTTTGGCCTATGGAACAGATTTGTAAGTAATCATCAAGAATTTAATGTCCATGTGATTATGAGTTCAAGATTTTAACCAGTTATTTAAATTTTGCAGCAGAAACAGGAGCCAAGAAAATAAACGGTTACAAATTTGGTATTTTAAAAGGGAAGTAATACAACACACACCATTTATATAGGTGGCATTTAACAGGTGGTGCATCATACAAACATCTTAACTAATACACATAGTGAAATGTATAGTAAATTAAAAGAAAACTAAGCTTACATCGAAGAATTTATTACAAATACACAACAAGGCCACATATAATCCATTTCTGCTTAACAATATTACACTAAAGTATACTTCATATGAAGTTGATATACTGTACATGAACTTGATATGAGGTATAATATTGTTTAGCAGAAACAGATTAATATAAGATTTTAACCATTCAAAAAAATAAGTTTATTTGGCGTCATTGAGTAGAAACGTGGCCTTCATGTATTTGTAATAAATTCTTGAATGTAGCAAATTCTTATCTTTAAATATTGCAAATTTGTTATTGTTATTGTATTTCATTTAAAGGTTAAAATATTGTACATCTATGTACACATTTAACATTTGGTAAAATGATCCACTTGACGTGATTGTTTTTTTTTTATAGGCACTTGCCTCTTCTTTCTGTCCTATTGTTTTCTTATTGTTTTTGCAAATTTTATATTTTTTACTTGTAAAAGATTTGAATAAAGAAAAATCTTGGTATTTATAAAGAATACCTGTTGAATAGTGAAATCTAATAGAAAAGCAATCCCACTTGACATGATTTATTTTTTTTATAGGCACTTGTCTCTTCTTTGTATCCTATTGTTTTCTTGTGTTTTTGCAAATTTTATATTTTTTACTTGTAAATGATTAGAATAAATAAAAACCTTGGCATTATAAAGAATACCTGTTGAATTGTAAAATCTAATGCAAAAGCAATCTGAAATTTTCCTTATATTATTATTACAATTATTAATAATTAATTGATTGATTGATGAATTAACTGATGTCTTCCATACAGCTCTCCATCACTCATCAAACCATAAATATTTATCAAGTTTCCATGAGTTTATTGATATGAAACTTACTTTTTCCAATGACTCCTTCGTTGAGTTTATGGACTGAACAACATTAAATGTGCCTGACACTTCAGTTTTGACCTAAAGAAAAAAAGATTATACAATTATTATATTTCAATTTATTAATATTTGATTGACTACCTTCTTATAATTTCAAGTGGGCATGTCAATGTTATGGGGTCTTTCTTAGTTTTTTTTTTTATCTTGCTTGCCAACTTAATTTGTTTAGTTTGATACCCCATTACATGAGCACTGTGAGTTATGAATAGGCCGGCCCTGTGCCTCATTGCTTGTAGACTGTGTGGTGATATGTGTGGTGTTTATTTAAGGGTAGCCTTAAAGTTCACGGTAATTTTTAGTTCTTTCCTTCTGTAGTGGATACTGTATGTGCGCTGTGCAAATCTTATTATTATTAATATGTCAAGGGATAACAACAAACAAATTAAATGGTGTACATACTGTATTGTTGAAATATATTTATTTATTTTGATTGATTGCAATATGTACGTAGTTACCTTGTCAATCATTGTCAATCATTTATCAATCGTTCGGTAAAGATCAACAACATTTAATAATTCTTTATAAAAAAAAGCAAACAAGTGTATAAGCTATATGATCATATTCTTTAATACCTTGACCTTTAACATTGTCATAGCCACTGATGGCATATTGGTTAAATGGTCAAATAATATTCCATATGTTTGGTTAGTATATTATAGAGGAAATTAACAGTGTTTGTATTTGTTCCGTGAAGTGATCACTTAAACAACCATGGTTTATTTAAAAAGTACATTGTCAGTTCCTTTTTCCTTTTCCAAATACTGAATTTCAATTGTTCCTAGACGGTTTTACTACTGTACCAATATTCCTCATGTACTTTTTAGTCTCTATATTAGTACTACCACAATAATACAGAGACATTAAGCATGAGGAATATGAGATACTGTATGCAGTTTCATGCAAGATGTCGTGGGATGGGGAGGTGGGAAATACTACTACTTTTACAAATAATTATTGAAAAAATTTTTCAGAAAGTATTATTATATTATATATATAGAATATTTTATCTTAAGCTATACTTGTCAGATAATGTCTTAAGAAATGTTGTCTGATGAAACAAAGCATTTTCTAACTTGTTAACAGCTGTGAAAAGATAAAAGATTTGTGTCATTAGATGTATCTGGATTAACTACACAATTATCTAATAAAGTCTGATAAAAAAAAACTGTTGTATGCCCATATATAGTCATGATGTGCCTATATATGGTCATGACATGATGTCATCATCATCACCATATTTAGGCATGTCAAATGTATTTGTCAAAAAAATTTGGTAGGTCTTAAGATTTGCGAGTTTGACAAATCAATATCTGAAAATGAATGACTGGTTTTAATATATTCTTGTAATCTGAGCTCTCCACTAAAAAAAAAAAATTAATAATAAAAATATATATATATTTATAACAATATATAGAGGAATGAAAGCGGGAGAGGGTTGTGAAATGCTACAGGAAAAATACATTATAACCCATATTTTTAAATCATTAATAATTATGAACAGTAATGGCTTTGCAGTATTTTAAGGATAAATGGTTGAAAAAAACATCAAAGTATTATATTCCATCATATATCAACAGCTGAGTGAACTTATTTGACCTTACATGAAGGCTGGCAGCAGCTACGGTGATTTACCTGCTGTTTCAATATCTTCCTAATGGATTCAATTCACTTAATGCGGCACTATTCAGTATCCAGTTCCGTCCAGAGAAAGTAGACATTTCAATGAAGCAACATTAGACGACGATTCTCATTATGGTTTTATAAACATGTCTGAGAAAGCTTAGAAATGAAAGGCCATTGGCACGACATCATCGTTTAAGTATCACTTCAGCTTTTCATTTCATACATCTACTATTACTCCGATGAGTTCCAAGTCGCATTCTTGGTGTTCTCATTTCTAATCAGGGAGGAGAATGTGTCTCTATGTTTGCCATTGACAAATTAATATTCTTTACAGAAAGCCCTCCAACAAGCCTATCAACTATTTCCCCCTTCAATTAAACTGTCGTTATATACGAAGGCTAGTTCATTTAGAAAAACTGTACCCAATACCAACATTGATGATACATGATGAAGATTAATTTTGTACAGAGGAAACTAGAAATTAAAAATCTACACTATAATGACATTGATGAAAATGAGTATTTAGAGACAAGCACAAGGGAAGAGGATTTCATTAAAAAATGATACTGTTAATGGACATTAATGATGAATGCTGATCAAGATAAATACTATATGCACACATGGGATATGTCACTGAGTAAGTTTATCCTATAACCAAGAGTACACATAATAAAATTCATGTTTGAAAAGATTTATATGCTGTTGCACAGGGGAAGCTAGTCTTATCAAAAAATGTGTTTGAATGTGGTGAATGTTGATTAAGTAACATATATCTGTTCACAGGGATGCAAGTTCTAAATAATAGAAACGATGTGAAGACCATTAATGAACACTTTGATCATATTAAACTATGAAGCTTCATAGAAATCACTGAAAATATGATAATAACTGTTAATTTTGATGAGGAGAGACACGAAGAAACCCTTGGGGGAGAAGGAAGCTACTGTAGTCCACGCTTCGAATGCTTTGGGACTCTGGTATAAAGTGCTATAAAAATCCAACTATAAAGCTGGTTTTCCACTAGGTGAATTTTTTCGCGCAAATCAAAGCGTCGGTTTGCTTTCTGAGCTCTGATTGGTTGCGCATTTTTTTGCTTCACAAAAACTCCGATAGGAATGTGAATGCGCATGCACATGAAGAACGCTTTTGATTCGCGCGAATAAATTCGCCTAGTGGAAAACCAGCTTCATTATTATTTATTATTGTTCATAAATGAAACCATGGTATAAAAACATTTTTTTCTTCTCTCTGGCTCCTTCTACTGTATAATAATACACTGAAATATTCACAAAGGGTTCTACTAGGCTTTCAAAACACTTTGTTCTGTCTCTTGTTGGTTTTGTTGTTAATGATCTATGTGTTCTGTTAATAGACATGGGGAGAAATATGCTTACTTTGTTTTTAAGTCTGACTTGAAAATTATAACAAGAAAATATTTTCTTTGGTAATCAAAGGTACACATAATGAAACTTTGCCTTTACTTAACATACTGTACATTGGCTGCTAGTATTTGTGGCTGAGCAGTAAGACAAGGGTGCAGCTAACTACAGCCTTCACATCGTCAAGCCGCTCCTCGCCCGGGTTAGGTTGGTAGAACCTGTCAAGCAGCTCCTCGCCCAGTTCAGTTGGTAGAACTACAGTAAGTATTCCCAGATAAGGACTAAAAATGGAGGTGCAGTGTACACTGGTTTGTGTGCACTTTAAAAACCCACTGCATTTTTTGGAAGAGTTAACGCTATGCTATGGCTCATCTCAGCCCCTGTGGAATGATGTGAACTTGTAGCTACTATATGCACCTCTTTACAGTTGCTAGGCAGTCACAGACCACACCTATATGCAATTCAGCACAATGACTGCATGTTATGGGTTATTCTCCTTCCTTAATCAACTGAAAGATTTTCAAAGTAAAAATCTTTGAATCAGTGAAAACTAAATAAATTTGAAGTGCGTCTCATTGGAAATTGAAAACACTTCAATTAGATTTAATATACAGTACTTGCAGATGTTTGTGGACAGTCATTGGTACAGGTAGTAGCTAAAGTATGGTATGCAGAAATACCTCCATAAACCCTTTGATGTTATCTGATTTTACATGTTTCTGTAATAGAGGTAATAAAGTTATTAAGCAGTGATTATCAAAATTATGCAAATAGATATACACAGGGGAAGCAAGTCTTACCAAAATATCTGCACCAACTATTTTGTTTGTTGATTTTTAGACTGGTCTACTCTACACATGCGTGCCTATCATAACACATTTTGTATTAAGGTAACATTTAACTGCACTAGGAAAATAAGTGAAGAATTTGCAGACCTAGTACAGTACACAGAAGGGAAATGTTATCACTGAGTGAGAAGGAAATTAGATCTACAGCTAACACTCCGATCCGGAGGGCAATGACAGATAATTGTCCTGCTTAAAGGTCAGTTGCAAAATGACCGACACAAATTCTAAATTAGATACTTCTAACAAGTTATTGAAATATCTTATCATTTTAACTTTCCAAAAATCTTTTTAACAGACTGGACCAACCACACAATGTCTCCAATATCAAGAAGATGAGCTGAAATATTGAGCAAGAGACAAGTATGTTTGTAATAATCCTCATTGTTATTATTGCCTATGGGAAACTAAAGATTATTTGATTGGAAAATCTGCTTTCTCAAGATCATCTATAAAATTTAGAACATAAAAACTTCATGTAATGTCTCCAAATCTAAAATACAAGCAAATCGTAATCCCAAAAGGAAGGAAAAGCACTAGTTGACGGTATACTGGCATTACAGTGTATGATATTACAGATGTGTTTATACAGAAGTTAAAGCATTGTTATACTTTAATAAACTGAGGTATAAGCAGATGGACACCCTGCTTGGATACTAGGAAGTGAGTTTAATGGTTTTAACAAAGCTTTTAGCATGAGCCGTGTGACGTACCGGCAAGTCTTTGAGTCCCAACTGACTGGCTAAGATATTTTGAGATTGATTCTGTTCACACGGATCTTCTCCTGTGAGAGAACAACAAAAAATCACACCATCTTCACTGTATCTGAAAAAGTCCCATCCATGGGGTGAAAGCCTGAATTAAATAGTATATTTTAGAAGGTTATTCATAATAATTTTCTACACTTTGTTTTTTTTTTTTTAATGTACTTACTACCTTCTATAAATAAGTAATTTTTACTTGCTAAGAGATGGGAAATCCTGTTATTTACAGTGATTGAGGCAAAACCCTGCAACTAGAAGTCAGAGCACTTTAACAAATCCAAAACTTCCCCTTAAAATAATACTTTCAGATTCAACACGAAAATATATATAAGAAATCATTACATATTATATTTTTCTCAAAGAAAATATAGAATCTACAACTATAAGTAAATAACTTGGATTGCCTATTAAGGATTCTAAATGAATTTTTGAGTAAGCCAATGATGCTGTTGCTGATAATGATCTTTTTACAGGGCAGTAATTCCTCTTTCTTACAATAGCCCTCCATTCTTTAATGTTGTTAGACGTCTGACCTGATTATGAGTACAATAACCTAGTAGTAAACTAGAACATTATAATGTATGTCCAGGAAACTCTGGTTTTCCTAAATCACCTTCCGATCCCTATATAGCTATTCCAGTTAAACTGGGATGTTGTGGAGCGGTGATGTATGTAAAAGGCCTTGACGTTGGGTTGTAATTTTGAGCAAGCAGACATATTTTTTGTCTGTCTAATTTAACCTATAATGTTTGATCAAATTTTGTCTGACGTAGTAGAGGATTATCAACAAAAAAAATAAATTCCAAATATTTCATTAATTACATTACAATCTCTATAAGATGGTGGTTAAAGAAAGAAGCCATAGTCCTGAACATAAGAGACACTGATTTGTTTGATCAAATACATATGTATATATATATATATATATATATATATGTATATAACATGTATATATGTATATAACATGTAGGTCTACTTGATATGCTTTTATTATTAGTTTTTACTGTTTGTTTTGTCAGGGTCAAATTGAGACAAGCTTCGCTTCTATTTTTGATCCTAATTAATTAATTTTAATGTTGTCCACTTTATTTATCATTTGATGTATTTGATTAATTAATTGAATAAATGTTAATTGAATTGAATTGAATATGTCTGACACACTATCAAAATCTGATCAAACACTATCAGTCTGACATATACAATCTGATAACAATGCAGACTTGAAGCCCCATCCAGATTATTATTATCTTTGGAAAAAAAAGTTGATGCCCATATACATAGTCATGACAGGAAGATGTAAAAACTGGTCATGATGTGCCTATATATGGTCATGATGTGATGTCATCATGACCATATTTAGGCATGTCACATATTTTTGTCAAACAAAATATGATAGTGTGGACAGGGCTTCATTAGGCACCAATGAAATCTATATCCATCTATTAATGTGCATTCTGATACCACATGAATTCATATCAGCATGTAACATGTAGAGTACTGTCAAATCCAATATCAACATTGTTAAACACCCAAGCGATTCATTTACCTTGAATTAATAACCTTAACAACCATATGCTTTCCAGTTCAATAATTACAAACTATACACAAATCAATAAAACTGATAGGGTACAAGTGAGGAACTTACCTGGATAAATCAACTGTGTAAGTCTGTTTATCCAGGTAAGTATTCACCTAATAGTAACATAATCAAATAAATATGCTGGAATTAATATGAACAAATTATTAGGTGAAGGGCTAATATTTAAACAGTTCACAAACTTTCAAAAGAGATGCATAACTGTCATTTGGAAAGCATTGTGCAAGTATTCTGTACACTTAGAAGCAAGAGAAGAGTGCCGTCTATTGGTGCAAACAGCAATTCACCACCAACTTTACAGAGGTAATTTATTGTCCTCATGTTGCCCTCTGAATGTAAACTCACATAGACACTTGTAGTGCAGGGAGCAGTATGGTGCAGTTGTTAACTGTTAGTAATCACTGTGTGAGTAGTAAACCATGTTGTAGGATCCTAGCCTAAATTTCCAAGGTACGAAAATGGAGCCAATAGACCGAATTAGTCACCAAAGATGACTCATCAAAATTTGGCCGATTGGGTATTAAAAGTTGTTTACACCGTAAAGTCCCATGTTAACGCATTGAGTGGAGTCGAAAGTGGCGTCGATTAAATCGTCAAAAATGTAATGAAGTTAGCATAGAAGATACTTTTTATAACAATGTATATTTTGAATGATTCAGAGATTCATGAAATTAAGATTGATTTCATTTAAATTTCCATTCTGACTAAAATTATGAAGAATTTCGAGAGCCCTCCTAGGGGGCCTAGGCCTGTCGCTCGCGAGACTCACCACATCCAGCACTGACTAAGGTGATTGCTGTTGATTAGAGGTACATATTCAGCTTAAATACTGTCACCAAGTCATTTTGTTGCAATTTCTGTATGAATATTTAAACTATTGGACAAACCTAAATTGTTGAATAAGATGTTTCTTTTGATTACGATGGCGAATGAGTCAGAAGAACGTTATTTGTATGACTCTGTAGTCTAGGGCTAGGCCCGTTTTCATGTGAGACGGCTTTGCAAAAATATTTAAAGTTTTCCATTTGTTTCTTTCAAATCTAGCGGGTCAATACTGTGATGAGAAATATTTACCAAGGCTTTTCAATAAGTTATTTTACAATAAAATGTAGAAATAAATAAGTTTGAGGAGTTTAAAGACTGTCACAATTTACTCGAGCAGAGGTTTAATATTGTGTGTAAAAACTACCACCTAGCTGTTTGTTTTGATGTTATACCCACTATAACGGCTTTGGTTTGGTGGCTAATTCAGTCTATTGTGTTACTTTACATTATTTGAGTTACAATATTTGCTATTCTACAACATTGACTATGAAATCTATATTTACCAGTTTGTGTTTCTTCTGCTGCTCTTCGCCATACTTGTGTACCTCTTTCACCAAGTCGTGTAATTTTGCAATAAATCTTAGGTGAGTAGTAGCAAGTTTATCCATTGCATTTTTGATGACATTCCAAAAAGGTGCAAATGACCTGAAATTATAGAAACAAAATTATGGATTATATAAGCCTGATATGTTACTGTAGTGAAGATTTCAGGGCATAGCCGCATATATGTTACTTGTTTTTATGAATGCTAATGTAATTGTTGTCCTTTTGTATTGGGGCCTTGTGGGAGAACTGCAGATATCCTACTAGACAGGTTTTCTAGTATAAAGAATAGATAAAAAATTCACAATATTACTAATCACATATTTTTCAGTTTGTTTCCATGTAAATTAATAATCTGTCTCATCTGCAGTAGATATAAGTGCCAAACTAATCCTTGTTTATTAAGTAACTTGTTTGCTACCAATTATACCTTACAATGGAACTTTAGAGCCTATAGAGGGCACTGTATTATCTGTGTCACATGTCCAGATTTTGCAGATTACTTACCCTGATGTAGAGCTGTTTAAGGCTATTTTTGACAGCTTACTGATATTCTTAGAGTATGTCTCTTCAATACCTGATCTGAAATGAATAAAAGTAATAACTTGTGGTTTTTGTGAATAAAACATATTGTGTGTATTAAAAGTTTACTGTAAGATATGGAAATAAAATGTTGCCAATTTTACAAAATATTTCTTTATAAATAGATATACAACATGGTTAATACAAGGTGCTTTTGCTCATGTTTTTAAGGATAATATGTACTGACAATGACAGATTCAATTCATTTGATGTATGTGCAAATGTAAGTGGTAACGAAAGTGCCCCTTTACACACGAAGGCAACGATATATATTCTCTAATGTTAATACTTGTCACGGGAGCCTACACATAAATCGAATGATACCTTATGAAGTAGACACAAGATGGTGTTATACTTATAGAGTTTTCATACAAAAGCTGTAAATCATTAAATCTCATAATCTCACAATCAAATCTCATTTAAATTTCATTCTGATTCAAATTTCATTCTGGTTCGTAAGAGTTTAATGTATTCGCTCAAAAAAGGAAAACTTATTCATACAGTATATAATGTAAGCAATTCATATTTTAATTTAATTAAATATAATTGCTCAATATTGTACATCCTATATAATTATGATATTAACTAACATTTTCCAATTATTATTTAAGTCAACAAGATCAATACTTTGTAATTCAAAGAAAAATTTACTGCCAATATCCATTAAGAATATTCTACCTTATACCGATGACAATAAAATGAATTGCGGGATTTGTTAAACACTTTCTTTCGTGATTCATTGTGAGTAGGTAAATACTGTGCATGTTTAATTTATGAGTCATAAGAAAATCAAATATAATTTACACACATCCAGCGGGGATAGAGAATGTGAGAGAAAATCGCATCAATGGAACTTCCTGACTGCTTGGGAAAAAAGCCAACATGATGAGTCGGTTTAATGAATGAATCTTCTCACTGCTCAGTGAAGTAGAACTAACCGAACACAATATTGATCTACAATAACTCATGAAATATGTATAGAAGTGGATATTAGATATAATAGAGAAGACATTCTAGAATTTGTGCTAAAAGGACAAACATTATTAGCATTAATTATAATTATTATATTACCATTAACAAATTAAATTAGCTTCCTTATTAAGCTGAGTATATGCACCCCATACCAGGCATCAATTCCAACATTCCCAGAAACAATATGTAAATAGTAATAGTGGCCTTGCTAATGCGCTATAAGATTCCATAGTATCTTTGTATTAATTTGTCTATATAGTCCATCTTTTCAGAAGATTGTTATAATATGTTACATTTTCCATAGTATGGTAAAAGTTATTTTGTATTTTATGAGAAAGTAATTTAAATACTGTAACTCTTCATTCTCTTACCTTTGATTTAGCTTGTTGAAGAAAGATTTATGATATAGAAAACAAATTGTTGCATCTATTTAAATTGTTGTGTTGAACAAACAAAGGAGATAAATTGTCCATTGGGTTGTAAATATAGCTCTATGTCTATGGCTTTGAATACTATAGGGTGAATAGATGATGAATTAATAAATGCTAGAAATTATAATTATTTTATTATTATTGAAAGCAGACCTTTCATACTAGATAAACATTTCCTATCATGAATGTAAACATGTAGTTTTATTGCATGTCATGCACAACAGAGCCATATAACGTCAAACTATAGAGATTCCATCTGGTGGACTTAATAAATGCCAAGAAATTAAATGTCATTGAAATAAACGAACCATAAAAAAATGCATTTTATAACAACATTGTCAATAAAAGAACAGCATGATGAATCCATTACCACAAACCAAGAAATGCCATCGAAAAAAAACATGTAACAATTATGTCGACAGCAAGTGATTCATTATAAACTACAAACCATACATGCCAACAAATAAATTCCACTGAAGAAATCAACCAACCTACCTATACAATAATATGGATAGAAGCCACAAATAAATATAAATTTATAGAAAACATTGTGGATAAATGAAAACATGGCAAATCCATTCCATTTATAAACCATAAACCCAGAAATAGCAAATATCTGGACCGTATGTGATTCATCCTGTTAGCCAGAAATGCCAACAAATATATTATAATAAAATTAACCAACAACAAAATACTGTGGTTAGCAAAACTTCATGGACGATCCCCCCATTATAAATAAAACAACTATAATATTTAACCCAGAAAATTTCAGTAAAAAATACTGCACACATTTAATAAACCACAAGCCAATTAAACACACACCCACTACTATATAAACATATCTTATAGATTTGCTCTTATAGATGTTAGATTAACTCCAAATATGATTATTACTATCTCTGCCTTGGGTTATAACCTTTAAAAGCAAGTGCTTGGATATGACTAGATGTTCAAGTAGTCGTACTATCCATGATGTCATTACTAATTTAGGTACTGTACGTGAGTGAACAATTATCATAAGATAAAGCTTCATGTTAATTATTACTACAGGCATGTTATACTGCAGTATATAAATCCATTGTATGGTATGGAATATCCATGTTCAAGAAAACTGAAATAGTATAATGAAGAATGAAATTTAACACAATAAAAAAAATTGACTTGAGCAGAGATGATCTGAAACAGTAAACTCTAAAAGTAAAGATAATTAATGATGGTTATGATGATGCTGATAATTATTATGATGATAAAAATAACCTCTAAAAATAAAGATAATTATTGATGATTATGACGATACTCATGATAATTATTATAACGAGAATGAGATAATAAAGATAATAATAATGGGCAAAGTGCGGCCTGAGAGTGAATTTTTTTGCAGCCCGCGAAAATGAATTAAAAACCTTATTGTGCAGCCCACCAAAAAATTGTTACTAGAAAACACCATGTTTTTTACGACCAGATACTGATTATCTGTAAAAAAGTAATGTTAAAACTGAGAATAAATTGGTATAAAAGCAGTGTATGAAGGTTTTTGAAAGCACAACTGTAAACATCAAAGTTTGGATGCAGCCCTCAGTGTTAAATCAAAAATTCACTTTGGCCCTCCGACTGATTTTTATGCCCACCCCTGATCAAGATGATTCCAATGACAACTAAAGTAATAACATATAGTATTTATAGGATATTAATCAACACACATAACAGTATAACCAGCCTGAGTAAAACGCATGAATCTAATTATGACATCAGCATTGCCTAAAACAGTTGTATTGGGAATATAACATGTTCACTAAGGAGTCAAAATGATGTAAATATTCCCTGAAAATGAATACTGGTGTGCTAGAAATGCTCATTATTAACATGAATACTGTCATTGTAATGTTAAAAAAAAACAATCATATTAAACAAAACATCGGAGGGTTCTATAAACTGTATAAAGGACACCTTGCTACATAATTCACAATCTAAAATTCATAATATTTTCAGATGGCTATTTGATGACTGCTGGGAGAAAAATAATATAAATATTCCAGTGAAGAGCCTCATGGGGAGATGAAGGGATTTTGAATTGCAAAATTGGAGCAAGACTGCAGTGCAAATTAACAAGGTATTTCAGGACAGAGCTTGTAGAGCCTAGCTTAGCCTAGTATTGTATGTAGGGTTGGAACTTTCTCACTACTGGTATGGTACAGTACCACCAGTGGCCAAGGAACAGCTTGAGCAAAATTCATGATTAGGTAAGATAATGATGATGGGATGTGTGATACTGATAGTAAGGATGACAATGAACATGAGAATCAAATGATGTTATACTGAATAAATGACAATATGATATACAGTATGATTATAATGGCAGGCCTATGATAGTAAAGGCATTGGCTGTGATATGATGATGATGAAAATGATGGTCATAATATAAAAAAGCTGATGATCATTGTGGTATGATAATGTAAGTACTGAAGATTATGATGATCAAATGAACAAGATGATGAGACAAAGTCAATGATGATGCTAATGACAATATGATGTCACCAGTGTACAGCACGGCACTGACGGTACGATAATGATAATGCTAACGATGATGATCACAATATAATGATGGCATTGATAAGAATGGTGATGGTATGATGATGACGGTTATAATAATAATGATGAGAGATTCTTTTGAACATGATGGTTGCCAACATGATGAAGAACATATAGTGTCTCACTTTGCTTCACAAATCCAATCCATCAGATTTCCATTATGGTAAATGTTAAATGTAAAAAAACTCAGTCAAAAAGACTCGAGTCAAAATGTCACACCAATAAAAATACTATTTCTTTAATCCCATAAATCATATTAGCCAAGTTGTCATAAGTCTAGCAGTTTTTGTTTAAAAAAATATATAAAATCAGTGCGAGTGCTAAGATGCTGTCTATACAGTCAAGTCTGACAAAAAATACCAAATAATGTTATTGTGGAAATAAGGAGGAATACTATCAATCCATCATCAATCAATTAATCTATTAATTAATGAATAATCAATCAATCATATAATTTGGTCCATATTTGGCAAATATATTCTTTTTTATGCTTTAAAAGATATAATGTTGTATGTAAACATTAATTAACAAAAGTAACATTTTTAAAATAGCAAATTATACAATATAATAAATAAATAAATAGGCATAAATAAATGTATCCTATCTTATATTGTCTTTAAGCCAATTAGTATTGGCTTACAAGACCTTAATAGTGAATAAAATTTAAATGGTTTATCTAAGGTCCAAATACTATAATATACAGTACAGATAACATAAAAATGCAATTCTTGTATATCCGTTTTTAACTGAATATCAGAACCAAAGTTTAAAAACATCTTAGTACTGATGATAAAACATGATTTTTTAGGCTAAATATTGGCATGTAGGTTACAGTAAATGTGGTAAAATAATTTGCTTTTTTTAACCCCAAAATGAAAACAATATGTACCAACCAGTTGCAATGTACAATAATGAATAGGGCATGAAGGGTAAACTGTACATTTTATAATGAAGAAAGCGAAGTTTTTTGCGACGGATTAACACTTTTATCAAATCCCTGGTGAAAATTTGAAATGCTCTCAACTTATTAGTTAAGAGTAGTAAAGGATTGTATGAATGCACAACTTACACATTGCAAACATTTCCTTTCCCATTTCAAATGCTTCATACAGATGATAATAAACAGGTTGGATACATTAACAGGTAAATACAGGTAGAACGAATATAATCCACAAAAGGAAATTTAATACATTATTCAAATCCAAAAGCGTGTGACTCGCCACTTACAGGATGGAATAGACACTATATGAACTAAGTATTATTACGAAAGCAGAGAGTGGAGTTGTTATTAGTCTCGAGAAAACATTCTATAGTATCTCAAGATTTGAACACATGACCCTTGGATTATCAAGAACGAAACTAGAGCTGCAGTCCAAGTCTGCCTGGATTTAAATATGATTGAATGAAATAAATGTTTTGCAATGCAGTTTTAACTATAATAGTGAGGCTTAAAAAACATAAATTGTTTGTTTGCCCTTTAATGCTGAAAATTGTATAGATAGGGAAGGAGCAAAAAGGTTTCTTTTTTTATCCTGTCACCAAAATTAACATATTAAATCGCAATGCTTGCAATTAAGCCTGTCTCACTATTATTTTTTCAAAGGGTATTTATTAGACTGAATAAAAATAACCCATAATTGATATTCTGCAATGAATTTAGGCCTAAAGTAGAATGGTGATACCTTACATCAGACACCAAAGTTAGACAACTTTCATATCCAAAATGGAGAAAAATAAAGATCACCTTTTAAAATCTATGAAAAAAAAATATAAAAAAAAGGAAATTTTTTTTAAAACGTTGGCCCTCTTTTCCTTGAGCTAGGGGCGGGTGCTGGAGGGCAAACAAACAATTTTTTTTAGGCCTCATCTTCTTCCTTCAACAATAATTCATCCTATCAATGTTCTTCAACAATTTTGAATCTTAATGAACATGGATGATAAACAGCTATAAATCCCCACTATTATCATTTAATTCGTAAATTCAAAATACACAACATTTCTTAATCTGTGTTTGAAAATAATAAACTGTACACAAGATGTGTATAAGAGACAGCAGTAACAGTAGGCCTAGTGCTAAAATTTGGCCGTTTGACCAAATTTTGTCGCTAAAAAACAGCTCTCCTCAATTTCTTGAGGAGAGCTGTTAGTAGCTCTCCTGCTTTTTCTTTAAATCAAGGTCTGGTACAACTCATTCTTCCAAGACACAAATGCATATTTGACAAAAAACTTGGAAGCGGTTATTGAGATACAGATTTTGTTAATTAAACACTGGGGTAAAAAGGGGCGTAACCACCCTTTTTTTCATCTTTTTTAAATATTCAAAAATCTGTATCTCATTAATCACTCCCAGGTTTTTCTTCAAATATGCTTTTTGTGTCTTAAGCTTGGTTTCCATAGAATCGCTACACAATCGCAACAGTGCAGTGCAAAATGCTCCCTGATTCAACTGACCAATCAGCATCACCAAAAGAGTCGGAGATAGCGTGTAGCGATTTTTATGGAAATCAGGCTTCAGAAAAATCAGTTGTATACAATATATAAATGTTTAAAAAAATATCTATCGGAATTTGGCTTTAAAGAGTGAGTTAAAGAGGATATTATTAGAACATTGTTCAACATTACTGTATGTCATTTGAAGCTTCCCAATTAGGTAAACAAAATCATAGACTGACTTGGACTTAATGACAAGGATGAACCACCACATAGCAAACTCAATATTGTGTCTATTGTATATAGAAAGTACACATGCAGGACAATATGCTCATCTGTACAATATGCATGTTTTTATCTCTTCTTATCAGGATACTAAAACTTCCTCAAAAAGGAAAGCCCTTGTTCCAGATGGGCCTCTAATCACCTGTTTCAAGGAAACATATGAACCTTTGAAAGACAACTTTGTGAGAACATTGATCGATGATGACATTGATGACAATGATAATGATTTTCTTGAAGAATACAAAAGTTACAAACACAAGATTCAGAGTTGGGATCAAATTTAAGATGACCTTGAACTCAAAGCAAAAGCGTGTTTCTTGAGTTCACACCATAGTGCATCACAATGAAACAAACAACTCAGACTGTTTACTTTTTCAACAGGCACTGAAGGAGTATCCTACTTTCATAATTAGAATTTTATTATTATAGAATTTTGGTTTTTATAACTATGTTTTATAAGGTTTGACCACTCTTTATAGTCATGCGTGCACACCCGCATGCCCGTGTCCAAGGCCGATCAACATAAACATATGAACATACACACAACACTGTGTGTATGTGGCGTACTGTATGTTTGTTTTTGTTGGTTGACCTTGATATGGGCATGTACAGTTCAAACCACAAAATGCCTGATTGATTGTAAAATTTATTCAAATATTTATTTACCCGCATATGGATTGGCCTTTGGATATTGGCTACTTCTTAGAAATTTTAATTAAAATGTTTTATGTGTAATTATGTGTAAACAACAGAGATATTAAATAGATTCAATAATTTTTTTCTTTTTGAAATCTCTTGAGATATGGATCAATAACTATAGAAATAAAAGAAATAAAAACTAAAATATAGAAGCATTTTATTTTATGATTGACATGAACAATAAAACTAAATGTCAAATATTTGAATAGCTAACTTTGTATATTGATGAAGGTTAATCAATTATAAATTAAGATGGAAACACTTTCCTCGCAAGTACCGTTCTTATATTCTTTGCACAGATGCTTATTGGCTTGTAATTGGTGGTGATGACAAGACATGAAAGGACTTACAAAAATCGCACTGACACTCTTTAATTAGCATATTATATAGATACGATTGTCATTAAAATTAACAATATCCTGCTTATCCACAAGGAGAATGCTACATTTCTAGGCACTGTTATCAATAGAAACGTTATTGAAAAAAATCCTATTATGAATGTTTTCTGGTAAAATATCAATAAGCCTTTTGTATAACAACAAGGTCAAACACCGACCGTATTTCCTAAGCGAATACTTGGAAATATTTAAATATCCTCATTCTAACATTGCAGTTTGGGAAATGACAATAAAAGCAAAAATATAGCAATGTACATCATAAACTATAGAAACGCAGGTGCACAGATCTCAACAATTTTGAACCAATAAATATATATTAAATAACTTAAATTAAGTAATGCTCGTAGAGAATCATAGTATGTTTGACAATAAAAAAGGATGTCTTATGATCTTCGACCTATATTTGATGTATTTTGATGTGTGGCAAAATATCACTCCTATACTGTATAATTATTTTATGTACCTACAGTATCATAAGGCTATGCTTTCATAGATCAATTTTCCCAACTTACACTTGCATCCACTGACCAGTTATTGTACGCAAGAGTAAGACTTACCTTTCTCGAATAAAGTCTTCCAACTCTTTAGTAGAAGTAGTGCCATTTTTCATATTATTGTAGAGAACTGCAAAACCCTGGTTCTTTTCCCCCTGTAGTGAGAGTATGAAAAAAAAAAAAAAACAGCATAAGAACTTACAACATAAATTTGCATGTACATAAGAATTACAGTAATACAAATTTTGAATCTTAATGAACATGGATGATAAACAGCTATAAATCCCCACTATTATCATTTAATTCGTAAATTCAAAATACACAACATTTCTTAATCTGTGTTTGAAAATAATAAACTGTACACAGTATTTTATCATGTTTTTTATGAAAATTATAATTAGGTTTCATATACTATATAAATGCAACATCATACAGTACAACAGACTGTCTTGAAGGTATATTCAACATAAATTCCACTTACCTTCATATTAATGCCTATAGAAGTTCAACAAGTTGATGAATTTATTTTAAAAAATCAACACATTATTAACTGTCAATAAACCTCCGGCCAATGGATATAATATTTCAACAGAGCTAACATCGTGGTGAGGAGAATAAATAAATGAGTGAATGAATGAGTATATCAGCATTCACACTTAACAGTAAGGTTGGCGGATATATGCTAATGAACGATGTTACGCTTCAGATTGTATTGCTTCCTTCCTAACGAGGCATGGAACGAACACACTTGGATCATCTTTCCCAGCTTCCTGAGGACAAGGTTGTACACATTGGGTACAGTGTCTCTATGGTTCACCTCAATCTGTTAGAATTATTTATCAATACGATACTTTAATCGATTATGGTATGACTATCATTGTCTTCCATGAAAATCGGAATTTAAGTCTTATTATTATTATAATAAGTTCAAAAACCAGGTCGCAAGTTTACTTATCCAAAACAAAGCATATCTTCCTATTAATTACTAGAACAATAATCAAACTCAGCATGAAGAAATATGATCTAAATTACTTATTTTCACCTGGTTAAAGTTTTTGTCTCGAAACTACTGTAGACATTTAAATTTGAAATATAATACATAATCTGCAAATTCTCATTAATATTGCCAGTCATGTCAATGTTTACTTTCCCCCTACTAACTGCAGCATAATGTGTCTTTTTTACCTATGCCAAAACAGTGGTGGATCCAGGAATTTGAAACAGAAAAGTCAATTTTACAGATTGGAGTTCTTAATTTAACAATAATAATAATAATAATAATATTTATTTGGCAAAGTATTAAAATACAATCTTGCCAGGAGCAAAGAATAGCATGAACCTTATCAGAAAACTGCTTTTACTCCACCATCAAAACCAACAGAAATGCAGAAAAATGCAACACTGATTAAAAATAATTAACTCATAAACTGAACTAAATTAAATTTAAAATCCTGATTTGAAGTTAACAATTACTACTTGAAGATAATCCAATCAGGACTTTTGTGAAGCAAAAGTATGAAAAGGTAAATTGGAAAATAAGGAATTAAAACAATATCTTTAAACAATAATGATCCAGATGAGTTAATCACATCCTTCTATTTTAATCTCTATTCAAATTATAAAGATTACTGATGAAGATTTCAATGACATGAAATAAACCTACCATTCAAGGAAATACTATACTATAAAAACAATAGTGCTACTAAAATGTAATTCTTACAATGGATTAAAGATACTCTAGCCTATGCAAGATATAGGCCACAGGTGGGCAAAGTGTGGCCCGTCAGCGATTTTTATGCAGCTCGCAACAATGAATTAAAAACCCTATGTTTGCGGCCCGCCAATCAAAATTGGCTAAAAAACACCCGACACCAATAATATGAAAAGAGTAACATTAAAACTGAGAATAAAGGTGATGTAAAAGCAGTGATTGGAGGTTTTTGAAGCTCACTAGAACATCAAAGTTTGGGTGCGGCGCTTGGTGTTAAATCAAAAGTTCACTTTGGCCCTCCAACCAATTTTTATGTACACCATATAGGCCTACAGGGCAATTAACAGTATTCACATTCAAAAAAATTACAGTAGAACCTCGATTTTACGTACGGTATGGGACCGGAAAGCATATGTAAATCGGGGGATTCGTATACAACAAAGGTATAACTTGGATATTCTAAACAACAGAGCTGCGGTGTTGTCTGGGCCTGCTGAGACGAACTAAAACCATGTACACTGCACTGGGCCAGCCAATTAGCGTTTGTGTACTGTACGTGAAACAACAACCATGTGCACTGCACTGGGCGAGCCAACCAATTAGCGTTTGTGTACAAAATTATGCCTACTTAGTTTAGTAAACTTTGTGTAGAAAATTTGATCAGATGAGTTTTCCACACAAAGCTAAGGAGGAAAGCAATTATTTTGAGCATTGATATTCAAAGTAAAACAAAATAAACAAATAATAATTCCTTACCCCCTACAAAAAAAAAATTAAATTTATTTTTCCCCCAAAATTTTTTTTTAAATATATATTTTTTCAATACTATAAAAGGCATGTGTGTGAGGGTGATAAACATATACTTTTCTATTGGGCCTAATCACTGGTATAAATGGTTTTCCTTTTATGTTTCTTTAATACTTTAAACAGCATATTTTCTTCACAAGCTACTTGGGTCTTCTTCTCTCTTTAAAAAAAAATCTATTTTTGACAAATTGTACATAAATGAAAGAGAAATAAATATTATGGTGAATTGAATTGAAAAACGGTAATCCATTACTGCACGAACAAATTATTTAATCATTTACCTCTATCTAACTTCATTCAATTTATTGTAAAAAGGATAGCCCTTCCTCTTACTAAAGGTAGACCTATTAATGTGTCATTCACAGACTTAACATTTGTTTTAAAGCCAATGAATGTTTGTTAAACACCTAATCAATTAATTAATCTTATTAAACAGCCAATTAACAAACATCCTCACATAATTTGCTTTATAGTTTGCTTTGGGAATAAAATCAACATGTTCTATGTTGTAATTCTTACTAAATAAATACAATTTTACAATAGTCAAATAATTAATAACCTTTTTTTTATTACATTGTTTTTTATGATTAAGCTTTACATTTTCTAATTCATATTATAATTTTCACATGCTTTTCCAGAAGATTGCAAAAAGGGAGGTTTGTCCTCTTTCCCTTGCAGCAGCAGCAAAAAAAAAAAAAAATCTTCAATAAAAGTCTGAAATCGATTAGAGTCACTGTCTACAAATGGTTAAAACTATGAAACTTTCACTGCAGTGAAATTACTGTACAGTATTGTACCCCCTGATCAGTACTGCAGTACAAGGAAGGAAGTACCCCTCACAAACCTCTCAACAAAGATGGGGAACTTTAAATTGGTGCAGTGGTTACCATTGTAATCCATTAGAATTTGTACTTTGTAAAACTAGTTTCTCTCAAAAGGGGTGGAATTATTGTGAGTGGAGCTATGTACCTGTAGCTTGGTGGCTAAGATGCTTGCTTTCTAATCCAAAGGTCTTGAATTTAATTCCTATCATATAAAGGATTTTTTTTATCATAGTCCGACACCCCGACGAACTCTGTCTAATGGGGGAGGCCTTGACCTGTCTGGTGGGGGGGGGGGGACTTGACCAAAAACAAATTTCTCCACTCCCCAAGCCTCACTAGGAGACATAAATAACGAACACAAAAAAAGAAAAAAAAAGAATAGGAATTCTCACTGGTTTTTTTATAAGAACGGAATAAGAATGGAAAGATAAGATACTATAAGGGAAATAAATAGAAGATTTGGGAACAAAGTAACACGCTATGAAAGAATCTGTAAGAATTACTGTGTGGACCGAGTTGAATAAATTGTCACAATTATACCTAAACTATTGTAATAATTATTAATAATCATCAAACTAATTGTTAAACTAAAATAAACTAACACCCAAAATATTGGATAAATAATTAACAGTACAACTGTACATTTGTTTATGGTTTATTTTCTTCTCTATATTTGTTGTTAAGCGCCTCAAGGTTGTGACAAAGCAAGGTACTATATAAATTCAGAATTATTATTATTATTATAGTATTAGCACAAGCCCCCGCACCCTTCACCGCTCGGCAACTTAACTAGTTATATTTAACAAGCTGATTTTTCACAGGACATTAAATTATTTCCTGTCTGGTTTTATAATGACTTTCAGAAATACTTGGCACCAGTCAGATATTATCATTTAATATTATCACTACCAAAATACCACTGATTGGTAGCATAGGAAGTCTTAAATCACTGATATGTTGTAAAGGTGAAATTTAATACAATCATAATTGCACACATGTTCCTAGACGAGTGTGCTAATTATTTCTAACATTATGATGATGATGAGAGGAAGTAATGGGTTAGAGGTGATGGATCACCATGAGTTCATTCTCTAGACAATGTAGATCTTACAGTATGTTTCACCGTGCTAATAATAATCAGAATATTAATATTCATATTAAAGGGCTCAAAGATAACAATAGGGCATAATATACAGTTAAAACTCATTCAAGACTTCTTTAATTTGAAACCACCTTTTCAAAGTACAGCTATCTATAAAGTGGACAACAAACTCCGAGACCATCCCATATTTTCAAGTCCCAAACATGGGAGAGGGGATTTGCAAAAATTGACCCTACTGGTGTGTGGGAATCGCAATATAATCTCCAGTGGGGCTTTTTGAGTCAGTAGAATTAAAGCTTAGGTACGGTATACATAGGGAAACTGATAGCCTTGTAATTCATATTATAAGAAGACTCTCACAGTAGAACTATGCTAGAAAATAACAAATTTAATATTAATGTGGATCTTTCAGATTAAATTCTTTTTAGGGGAGGGGTGGAGGGAGGGAGGAGAGGGTTCGTTAAAATCCATCGCATGGAAATAATAAAAGCATCTTCATTCGGATCTTAGCATACAGTAAGTATGGTAGTATAGTATATAATTAGCATTAGATTTATCTAGTCAATCATTAAGAAGGTAGTTTGTCAGTCAAGTGCATGTCCCATATTTTATAGGTATCTGTGATTATACTGAAAATCACATAGAGATGAACATCTGAAAACCTCTTATTCCTCAACTAATGGCATTGGCCATTATACAGGTAGTTCTTTTAGATTTCTGATGTAAATATAATGTGACTGAGCTATACCAATGTATGGTTGTGTGACAGTGATATTTGATGCTAAAAATAAAAAAATGTTTTTTAACAAATTCAAAAGCTGTAAGATGAAGCACTAGGCTTGTCATGTTCTTATATCCAGAAGCAATTTTTTTATTATTTATAAAATCAGAAATCATATCTACTTAATCCAATTCAAACAAATTACAAGAAAAATCCCACATAATTATTGTGATTGAAGCTTCAAACATTACAGAGAGCACTTCTAGCCTCAGTTTCATATTTGGTGAAGGTAGGCAGACAGATAGTCTACCGTATATTGTAACATAACATTACAAATGTAAAACAACACTCCCACATCAATTTTGTTTGTCTCAACAAATCTTGTACTTTTCCTGATGTATTATTTAGGTCTAATTTTATCGAAAATACATGTGTTAGGTCTAATTTCATTGTAAAATATAGGTTAAATTATTAAATGTAGGTGTAACACTTGTCTAGACAATTCTAATCAAGGTTGAAATTGTTTAGATAAAAATCTGCATACAGGTACAACCCTGCAGCATCCAGTGGGTGTAACCATACATACTAGTCCTCAGTTAAGGGGGAAACATACAATACCTCCCCATAGACTCTCGATTCCAAGGGGCTTGGTGCACTTGCTGGGATTTGCAGCTACTATAGTACTGTACACGACCAGGAAGCAGAGGTGGTTGCACACTGTATATAACTGCATATACTGTACATGACGTGAATAAATGTATCCAAATACAGTAAATGCAAAATGAGCGTCACATTATTGTAGGATACCAGCGCAAAGAAGACACTATCATCATTAACAATGATCTCTTTAATTGATCATCAAGGTTTTAAATATACTGTAAACCGGATATTAACACTGAATTTACAATTGTAAGCAATCTCATATCACAATATCAATGACTCGCAAAGCAAGCCTATGGTCTACTTTAAGGTTAACCCCAATCTCATCACTGGTGATAATTGTTAAAAATAATATTTGAGATGAGTGCCACCCTACTGTAGGTATCAGTACAATTTTTAAAATTTCCTGAAAACATAGACCTACTGTAACACAGCAACAGCAAACTTGGTAGTCTGAAATGATTGCTTTATTTTGTAATGAATAACTAGTATTTTGATCAATTAAATTAAAAATCAAACTTAATACCATATTATTCCTTTTACAAGGCAAGGTATTTTCATTTTCTGCCATCATATTCACAATTATTCTAAGATGCATAATAGACAAGATACACTGGGCGGTACATTCATTCTTTCAGTAACAACAGATTTAGAATAAGGTCAACAATATTGTCTACTCTATTCTTTCTTTTATAAAATGTAATGTTTGGCAGACAAACCATTTTGAATGCACAGGAACTGTGACTTCCACTGACTTTCTTTAGTCTTATGTACATTGCAATCACTATTCAGTGAGTGGATATGATGATTTATTAGAGTAATGATGATGTAGCAAAAATTGGTAGAACACTAAAAAATTCAATGAAAAGATTTAATTACCGATCAAATAAATCAAATAATAAATAAGTTGATTTTTCAATAATACATGAGAATTCTGTGTCTTTACTAAATGGAACACCTAATAACTAGCAAATTAAATGGCTTATGCAAAAAACACTATCTATTGAGTGCTATTATTAAAACATGTTCTTAATTTAATCTTCAATGAAAGCTAGAAAATAACTTAATTAAATACAAAAAGATACCAATTCATTTTGTTTTTAGCTCCACACAGCCAGTACTACATAGCATACAGTAAGTCAACACTAAAATTAAATGTTTTATTAAGACATGAGAATATTGTAACAGAGAAAAATGCTACAGTACATTTAAATTGAACAATCAATAAATTTCAGCCTTACTGTGAAAACTCAACTTTTCTGGCATTTTGTTATTACAAGAGAATTATTAACGGCATGAGAAAACTGAGTAACACAATGAAAATGGCATAAATGAAGTTGACCTTAGATGAATGCTTTAGGTTGTTTTCATGATTAATCGATGTGACGTTAAAGCAATTCTCATAAAAATTTACTATGTTTTAATACAGTATTTATGTCTAATGACAGTTATTCACTGGTTAGACTCCATATTACATATCATATGTTACAAGTACTTTATTGCTCTCCTCAAATAAATAAATTGGCTCTTCGAAATATGCAGACTGATTTCTTTAGTCTTAAGACTTAAATATTTGTGACCCAACAGCAATTTGGTACAGCATTACTTCACCTCGTAGTCTTCAAACTATGCTCTAGAATCCTCATTTTGATTATTGTTGCCGTATTTGATCTAACTGTAATAGTATGCAAAATACTATTGTTTACAAGTACTTATGAATAGAAAGTAGAATTTTGTATTCAGTAGATAAACTAAAACTAACTAAATCCTTTCTGAGCCACTGGGGCTCATAGGGCTGGAGCTTATCCCCAGTTTCTGTAGTGTGAAGTGGATGAGAGTTGTACTCCCCCTGGATGGGACACTAGTCCATCGCAGGTTAGACCTCAGCAGATTGCTGGTACCCATTGATACAGCTTGGTGGACTGAAGCAATGTAGCTAAAGTGCCTTGCCCAAGGACACAAGCGAATCTGCCCAGCGGAGACTCGAAACCCAGACTTTACGATTGAAAGTCGGAACCTCAACCGCTGCGCCAAACTGCCGCTCAGTAGATATTAAGACTTCTGTTAATTTAAGTACTTTTGGCTGGAGAAGACTCAATGCTAGTTGGGATAGAAAATTATTTATCATGATTTTCAAATGCTTCAAAAGATTACACTCCTCAATATCTGATATAAAAATTTATCTTCAACAATAGTACCTATACTAAAGGAACGCGTAGCCAAACAGATTATTAACAATCTAGTTTCCCAATATGGAATAATAGTCAAGGGAAAAGACACTTTACTTTACCGGTCAACAAAAATGTAGAATGAAATATCTAATGAATTAAAAATTTCAAAATATGTCAGTATTTCATTCTAAAACAATAATCAAAATGAGGATTCTAGAGCACATTTTCTAAACTAGGAGGTGAAGTAGTGCTGTACTAGATTGTTGTTGGGTCACAAATATTTAAGTCTAAGACTGCATAATGGTGATAATGGTGATGATGCTAATGCATAAACAGTTGGGTCTAGTGGTTAGATGGTTTGAAAAAAATTCCTACGTTAAATTTAAATTTATGTAAAATATTAAAATCCAATTCGGCTTTGTTCAAACGAAGAGTAATCTTTTCATATTTTAATTTTTTACATAATTGCAAGGCATTCAGAGTTTTTCCTAAATTTAAATCTATTGAAAGGTATTGCAAGAATCGTTATTTTTATTACTATAATTTAAACAAATGGCAAAAGAAACTTGTCTAATCTGGTACGTCACTTAGGCCCTCCAACATTGCTTCGGAGGCCTCATTTTTTCCTGTACCAGAATTGGCCGATGAGAAATCCAGCTATTATAGTAGAAATCAGTGGGGTGGTGCTTGCTTGGAAAATCAAGTGGTACATGGTATAGGTCTACTGGTTTGGCTGCAGTTTGAAACTTGCAGAAATTTAAAATATAGTGGGTGGGGAGGAGGGTATCACTCTTCTTTTACTACGTAAGAACTAGCTGCAGTTCACAAGTGCTCACTTACAAGTGGATTAGACCCATATTGTAAAGTAGTGTGCGGAATATAGGTCCCTATATCATACATGGTTATACAGTGTATTAGAGATAAACCAAGTCTTAATTTTTGGCAGAATCTGCATGGAAAAATTTTTTTTGCACCTTAAGGATATATTCCCAGCACAGGCCTTCTGGGATTAGGCGTTACATCTTGGTCTAACATCTAAAATAGTCATGTTCTTGTATTCTGAAATTCGTTGTCAATGTTTATTGTTTATATGATAAATAATGATGCTGTAAGTAAAACGAAATACGAAATATTTAATTGAAATTTTCACCAATATTATTGTTGTAGATGTTGTTCTGACAATTTCATGCAAATCTGAAATGTTGAACTTGATCGGTGGAGCTTGCTCAAGAATTAGTCTTCCTGTATTTGCACTATGGTATGTCCGAAAATAACATTTCCTATGATGATGAATATGTTATTTAAATTTCATGGTATAACTGTTTCCTCAAAAATATTGAATGAGTGCGCTCACCTCACAAATAATATTTATAAATTATATGCCTGGTTTGAATAACAGATAGGCCTAGGCATGATTTACTTGGTACAGTACGTTTAATTGTGACTGTTCTTCGTGTTCTTAATATAGGTAGGCCAAAGACTAACAAGAAAGACATACACACAAGCCAATGGACACCAGACGTTTGTGTGGTAGACAGGGAACACCTCCACCACCAATGCACGGTCGCAGCGATCTTCCTTCAGTCAGGCCAGAGTTCACATACCCGGCCTGACAATGATTACCATCTATAAAGCATAAATATTATCAATTGTATCTATCTGAAATGTATACCAATGTGTGACCAAAAACCCATACTATTGACTTACCCAGAAATTATCCACAAAATGCGACATTTTCACCAATATAATTGGCTTAATATTTTCGTGTCAAAACCACCGGAAGTTTCGTCTGTGGATAGATGTTTTGATTGATCTGAGCATGCGTAAACATTAACAAACGATAGTGACCCAAAATGGTGGAAGGCAGCATGGAAAACAAAAACATAGAAGGCAGAATCGTTATCCCTGGCGATGTTGTAGTTCTGAAAGAAAAAGGAGATGATTCAAAAAAGATAAGACTTGGTCCAGGGCTACGTCAAGAATCAGACGAAGTTATCGTTTGTAAATGTGGAATTATACGACATAAAAAGGAGCCTGAAATGTATTGGGTTGACTGCCATCAGAAAAGGGTAGGCCTAGGCCTAGTCTAGGCTAGCCTGAGAACTTCCCAGCCTGGGCAGCTGCTCTTTCTCTTTTGTTGGGTGGGAGGGTGTAGGCCATGTGAGAAGGCTTGGTGGTAGGGATCTAGGCCTAGCCAAAATTGTCGAAACACAATTTGCTGAATGCCAAATGGCATAGTATTTTGCTGAAACTGGTTTATTGCCAGTTTGCCGACTCGAAAACCATGAATCTTAGTTTGTCGAAACCCAGCCAGTTTGTCGAAAGTCAATTAAAAAAACAGTAAAACATTAATTAACAACACTAAACAGCATAAAATTAATGATGGAGTACTTTCTTATTATGACTGCTCTCTACGATATGGGAATTAATTTAGAAGTCATTCCAACACGATGCGATCACTGTGTGTTCTTACATAGCCGCTTATACGCCCTTTTCACGCTGCGATAGATAACTTCGATCGAGAACAAACAATGCTGAACAGCGAAGCGTAACCAACGTAAATAACATAGCATTTCGGCCATATTTTCGGAGGTCATGTTACTCAAAAAAATCATATATCCTTAACAGGAGATCGTGTCAATCAAATTTTTTTTTTTTTTTTTTAAATGTTTGCAAAGGATATATCTAGGCCTATGTACCGTATGAATAAAAGAAATTGAAAATTTGTTAAGTCTGTCAAAACTTAACTGGAAAATAGAAGACTGATTTTGTATAGTATGTGTTGCTATTATTTCAAAACAAAAAAATTATTAGTTTATCACAAAAAAATTATTAGTTTATCACCCTATCTAGGCTGGAAAAGTGATGAGGAATTGAGGCTTTTTAAGTTCTTGTTTAATAGAATTTAGGTTTTTGACTTGACACAAAGCGAAATAATTTGTTTCCTGCTTATTTACGATTTTATTCAAATACGTATGATTTGTTAATAACAAAATGAACTTATTTGAGAGTAGTGTATGAGAAAGAACAAACAAGGTGGCCTACCTATATGAACACAATGTTACAATTTTGCTTTTAAAAATAAAGGTTTAAATACTTTCTTTTCAGTATGTACCAACAAAAGGAGAATTTGTAATTGGTATTGTGCTTCAAAAAGCTGGAGATACGTTTGTAGTAGATGTTGGGGGTAGCGTTGCAGCTAGTTTGTCGTACTTAGCATTTGAAGGGGCAACAAAACGAAACCGTCCAAATGTTCAGGTACAGTACATTTAGATGTCATTTTAATTGAAATAAATTTATGATAAATTTTGTGTAGACTACTCTGTACCAAAATTTGTTGATTTTGTATACCGTAGTGTAATGAACCTGAACCTAATAGTATTTCCCTATTCAACACCAATTAAGCATATACTTATTTCTGGTGGGGGGGGGGGGTAGGGATTGTATATGTATCGTTGATCACATCACGAACTAATGTGTTCGTGAAATTACAGTAGCGTGAAAACGAGTGGGTATTGGTTGTCAGGCACTGTCGTATTCATTATCACACAAAAAATCTGTAACAACAATTATTTTGACGTGCTTTTGTGATTTCACGAACTAACACAATCACAATCTAATTTGATTGTGTTAGTTCGGGATGAGAGCGACGATATAATGTATGGAAAATAGTACAGTAATCAGCACATCGTTATTCAAACATACCAGATACCAACTCTCCATTCTGTGTGGAGAGAGGGAACATTTCCCAAGGACTCAAATGAGTGACCAACCACATCCTAATCCTTTGATTCCCCCAATCTTACAATTGTAGGTCCAATGTATTAATGGCACTATGATGATTTTGCACATACTTCAACATTGTATGCAATATTAACCATATGATTCACATTTGGTTTCAGATCGGAGACATAGTATATGGAAGGCTGTTGGTAGCTAACAAGGATATGGAGCCAGAAATGGTTTGCATAGATGGTGGGGGAAAAGGTGATGGGCTAGGGGTTATCAACAGAAGTAGAGGCGGCTATATGTTTAAATGTTCGTTAGGTTTAGTAAGGAAGTAAGTTGAGTTTATCTCATTATTTTTCTAGTATATAATATACAGTATTGACTATCTTCTGTGTATTTAGGCTGGTGTATGCAAATTTTTCTGTATTTAAGTGTCGAAAATTTGTATGTTGTATTAAAATTTTTAAAGGGGACCCCTTGTCTGAGTGCCCAATTTTGATAAGTTGGAAAGGCCACCCTTTGATTCATTAAACGAATTATGAAGAGCATTTTATTTTAAAAATTGTATTGTGGTGAACAGTTTTTATGTCGTCAGCATATACACAAAAAACAGAAAAATTATATGTATGTTTTAATTACTTTCTGTATACTGTATAACCAGTCCAACCTTTTATCTCCCCAGAATGCTCTCTAAGGAATGCAGTTTACTGAGGCAATTAGGAAAACACATCAAGTTTGAGATAACAATTGGAATGAATGGGCGTATTTGGGTTCATGCTATCAAACCAGAAGAGACAATCATAATCGTTAATGCCATATCAAATGCAGAGTATATGACTGAAGATCAAATTAAGATAATGGTTGATAAATTGATAGAAGCTCTGCCTGGATTTTGAAGTACAACAGCTTTTTACTTAAGCTCAGTTTCCATACAATTACTCACCTTATTGGCGACGGTAGCCGACAGTTGTCGGGAAGATCGAACCTGGTTCAACTTTTGCCGAAAATAACCAATGAAAAAAAACAGGTTGGCATTGATTTTTGAGGCATTGTTGAAAGTTTGCCATCTGTATGTTTAACTTATACACAAGGAACTGTAGTGTACTGGATATGCATGTATGAATGCATGGTATTATAGTTGCGCGTAGGATGAAAAAATTGATCAAAATAAATTATATTTGTTCAGAAATTTGTCAACCATGTCTTGGATGTTTTGTCTGTATGCATCTAAACTTAAGGTGGTTATTCTTTTGTTTATCCTGAAATGCACTTTCAATACAACTGATTTCCAAAGTCGTTCAGTGTAAAACAAAAGTAGAAACTGAGGTTCGAAACTCTTGCCGTGCAAATCGCTTGTGTCCTTGGGCAAGGCACTATATCTACGGTGGCCTCTCTCCATCCAGGAGTACAAGTGGGTACCTGGTAGGTTCAACACAAATGCACTAATTACTAGCTGAAATATTATGGAATATTATAATTAAATTTAATTTTGTGTTCAGTATGTGTTCCATATGTGTTTGATCCAATGACCGGTGTAGTAAGATGAAGAGCTTAGAGGCTTTGTGCATGAAGCGCTATATAAGAATGACATTATTATTATTATATAAAATCAAATGATACAAGTAACTTAACTAATGAAAAATTACAACAAGCACAGAGAAAGACTAAACAGTATTAAAACTTCTTTGATGTAAAGTTAAAAAAAATTTAAATGTTCATATGAAAGTATAATACATACTCCAAGTATCGAAATGCACGCCATCGTGTTGGGATTCAATATTTCAACATTAATTATGTCATCATCATTAAATGTTCATTATATAGCATTTAAAATGCCAAACTCGGGGATGTATTATGGTGGACGGAGCTAATTTAATGGCCCTCCACCCATCTTTATTGACTCCCTTGACCATCCTTACATTCACTCTTATTATTTAGAGTTTACCATATTTATGACCCACCCTTAGTTTTCTACAGCCCTGCAAACTTGTAAAAATTTATGCCATCTTTTAGATTCTATTTTGTTTCGGATGAGAATATACTGTATCACGTTACATCTTTCCGAGTTCAAATCACTTTATTAATTGCATTGAAAGTTAATTTGTTCAGTATATCAACAGATAATGAAACTATTGATTTAAAAATAGTTTTTTTTTTCTAATGTAAACCATATTCTCCAGAGTTATGGTTTCAATGGTTATTATATACAATTGTTATATTTGACTGGCTTCAGACTTTTGGACTCTGTTGAGTATAAATGTAAATATTAAGTACCTGTATGTTTAATGAAAAGACTTTAGTCTTCTGAAACGTGAGAGGCCTTGCAATTCAAGTGTCACTGCACCAGCACAAATTGACTTCAATTTTTTTTTTCAAACTCACTGTATTTTAGATAAGAAAAACTTTTTTTTCTACACTACCAGTAGATTCCCTTCGCAAATGAATTTCTATTTACTTCTTTTAATACTTCAAACTCCTTTATTTATTTATTTTTTTTTTGAAAATCAACATTATAAAACTTTGGTAGTATATTTATACTTAATACTGAAACTGCAGCTTATAGATGCTTACCGTTCAGTTCAATTTAAAAAATCATGTTTATTTCTAATGCGTACACTACCAAGTTTTATGCGACAAAAATTGTGATTTGTCTGTTTATGGCCATGATGATCAGATTGATTGTATGGACAGCATAACTGGGAACAGAGGGAGAACTGTAGTTAGATACCCAATAGTTTTCTGAGTATAAACAAGAAATATAAATAAATAAGTAAATAGTTCTTGTGTAGTGATTAGATTTGCTATTCTGATCCTGTTCATTCATCACATTGATAATTGTGTTCTGAATAAAATTAAAATACACTTAATATTTTTAAAGTATATAAAAATATTGTTATATAAATCATGTATAAAAAATTCTATATAGCAATATTAATCAAATTGCCACTGATTCTCCTAAGAATAATTTTCATTGGTTCATTTTCTCTGATATCTCGTGGACTGAGTTTACAAATGTTTCCAGGCTCTCTGGCATGAAGTCTGGGTACATTCCGTGCCCCAAGTTTGCGATATACCTTTGGGAACCAAACTCTGAAAGCATCTTCTCGACTTTAGCTTGAATGACTTCCTTGGTGCAGTACATTACACAGGGATCTAAGTTGCCTTGAAGACTGACATTAGGAGTGAGGCTCCTGAAAACAAAAAAATATGTAACAAAAAATGACAGTAATGTATTTATTCATTTATTCTGCCTTTAACGTGATAACATTTTCAGTGAAGCAGCACTGATCTCACTTGTGGATCACATGAACAAGAAAAGAGAAGAGAGAGTGGGACTGAATAAAAAACAAGAACTACCATTTTTGTTACAGTATATTTATTTAAAATTTGGGAAAAGTTACAGTTGTGATTTGAACACCCAAGAAACATCACATTATAGGCTTTCAACTATGTTCCATTTCAAATATTTTCAGCTACAAAATGTTACTTGCTACTTAAAGAATGGATCATTTTTTAAAATTTTGTGACTACTGAAAGAAAATCTGTAAGAATCAGAACAGCAACCAATTCAATAATAGCCTGCTTTGGCCTTAGCAGATTATAATGAAAACAAGGAAACATCTAGAGCCATCAGCAATTATGATCATTGATGTATTAATCTTTCATTTATGTATACATACGACTTGAAAATGGCATTAGAGGGCCTCCAAAAAGCTCATCACCCCTGTCAATAATGCAACCAGATCCCTACCTTGCCTGCTGAGGTAGTATTGTCCAATCTAGGCTTACAACATCATAGTCACTGTTGTTTAGTTCTTCTAGTGCATAGTGGGCACCTTTTGCAAAAACAATCTAGTGAGAAAAAGGAGGAAAAATATATTGATGTAGTGCAACATTTAATAATTTTTTCAATTTAAAGAATATTTTAATTCTTTATAATATCTAAATACAACAAAATTAAAAAGAAATGCCAATAATGAAATCAAGCCAAACCTCTTTGATGGCTTATTCTGTAAATGTAATTAATTTATAAGTATGGTCCTTGTTCAAAATCAGCAAGGAAATTCATATTGTAGTGCAGCACCTATCCTGGTCAGAACACTGGAAGACAATCTCATTTTAAATAATATACTGAGTTCTTTTTTATGCACACACAGACTATCCGACTTAATGTCCCATCCTAAGGACGAGGTATTCAGGAAAAATGTGTCTACCCAACAGCACAACCATGAATGGCATTGGAAAGTTTTGAAGTCAGTCCTCTCTTCTTATAATGATATTCAATGCTTCAATAATACTCTTAACAATAATAATACCTACCATTGGAACAGGTTCTATAGACTTTGTCCTGAGTGATTCTTTGACTCTTGTAGCAATTTGTTTCAAGTATGGAAGAGCAAATTCACAGAATATATCTTTACCTAAGATTCCAGCGTGGGAGTCAAATACTTGTAGAAGCTAATACATAATGACACAAAATAATGATTAATAATAATAATAATAATACTATTAACAATAACAATTATAATAGTAATTAAATATAGGAAGTCTATGTTAAAATCTGAAAAAATAACCCTCTAAAACATTATGACATCAAATTGCTTATTTAAAATTAGTTAAAGTTACTATACTACTAACTATAACTTACTAGCCCCACAAAATGTATTTCTATACTAAACCTCTAAAGATAGGGGTTTGGGCCATACAAAATCTTCCCATGAACCCTACCGGGTGGACTTTGTATTAAATACGACAGTTGTTCAACCTACTTGAGCACCTGCCTCTACTTGGCAGACAAGGTAGGGTACAATGACATCTGTGAGCATTTGAAGAAACTGGTGGCTAGCATCAATGTGAGTGTAAAGCCACTTCTTGGATTTGGCATATGTGTTTGATCCTCCTCCTTCTATACTGTAAGCCATTAGAGTCCACTGGTAAATATAAACAAAGAAAGTTTTAAATAAATTAAAGCAGTATAGTGCAGTTGTTTATACATTGGGTTAACTTGGGGTCCCAACACAAGTCTCAGCTAAGTCTCTTGCAGTGAGTTTCCTGGAAATCGCCATGGTTCCCACAATCCTGAGCAAAAATCTCCCACAAACTAACCAAATGCCCACAAATTTGTGCATAATATTGTGTCATTAGCACAGAAAAACACAGCAAGACAGCTCATAGACCTAGCTCAGGGGTTGCAAGTTGCAGGATTCTCCCAAAAATTGGGATGGCCTCCCACACTCCCATAAGCAGGAATCTCCAGAAAATAACCCATCTCCTGAAAATTCATAATATTTGCATGCTTTTACTATTTATTATCAATTGTCTCATGGAAATCAGTGCCGATGGGAGTCACCCTGAGTAGCAAAAATAAAATTAAATATGTTAAGAAAGTTCATTTAACCAGATCTCACGGAAGGGATTTCTTCCAACTTTCTAATTTCCAACTTTCTAATAGAAAGTTCAAAAAACGCTTTAACATAGTAACTGTAGGTGAATGGCTTACAGGTGCCCCAGCAAAACCTATGAGAGGGACTTTTCCCTTTAGTTCTTGTCTGGTTAATGTTATAGCGGAAAATACGTAATTCAGTCTCTCTTTCACATCAACATCCTTGTTTAGCTTCTTCAGATCATCCGGCTCTACAATAGGATTAGGAAAAGTTGGTCCCTAAAATGAAAAGTAAAACAATTTCTAAATTAAATTAACTTTAATGTAATACTGTACATAATTTTATATCTTAAGATGTAAAAAAGGGCAGGGTTGAACTTAGTAACAGGAGTGGATCCGGAGATGTCCAAAAGGGGGGGCCCAAAAGGGGGGGCTAAAAGTTGGGCCGATCGAGACAACACTGTCCTAGGGGGTCCGGGGGGCATGCCTCCGCGAAATTGTTGTGTTCTAAACGCCCGAAAATAACATTTGAGGCGTTCTGGGCTATCATTTTTTCTTTCTCTTTCTTTTTTTTTTACCTCCCAAAAGGGGGGGGGGGGAGAGAAGGGGCAGGGTCAGGCCACCCCCCCCCCCCTAAATCCGCCCCTGAGTAAGGCCTACAATAGGCTAGATTTATCTAACATTTGCTGGTATACCAACAAATGTTTGCATTTTATGGTGACTAGGTAAAAGCCTACTCTCAAACTTGAATATGGAAAGATGTAAATAGCAAACATAATTTAATTGCAATAGTATGGGAGGTAGGGAGGCTTACCTTGCCAGGTACCATAACACATTCCATCCCTAGTGCCTGGTTAATGACCAAGATGTCAGAAAAAATAATAGCAGCATCTAGTTGAAAACGTCTAATAGGCTAAGATAAGAAATAGCTACATTAAGAATTAATTATATTGATTATTTAGACAAAAATAAATAACATCAATACATAACACTGACAACAATTTTGTAAATAGCATTCAGTTTTCAATATTTGTATGTTTGATCATTTTTTGTGCACAGGTCTCTCTTTATGATATGCAGTCTACTAAAACCAACATATGTCAATGGCTGCCGAATGTCTGTAATTAGACGGCTACAACTATCAGCATCAGTACTGTGAGCCAGTCTAACTTTAAGGTCGTGCTGTTTTTACTTCACCGAACATCAATCTCATTTTCCCATAACAAGCCAAGCTCACCTCTCCTTAACAACAGACCTCAACTCCCCTAATAGCAAATGCATTTCCCAAGGGAACCATCATAAATGCAGTGGCAGCAACAGCATCTCAAATCTGGGAGGGCAAGTGAGGGGCAAGGTACAATTTGGGGGGGAGGGAGGCAAGGTCCCTGATGAGATCAAAGTGGGCGTGGTTGGGTGTCGATTAAGATGTTTGAAACTGTCCGGGGGAAGAGTCCCCTAAAAAATATGACAATTTAAGGGATTCAGAGGCTTGTTTAATCAATTTTATATATAGATAGCCTACTAATAACATACAAAATAGATATACTTTTTTCTCCCTGCCAAATTGTGGGTTTTCTTTTTCTTTTCTTTTAAGTTTGTATAGGCCCCCAACCCCAAGTATAATTCTCACAACTCATGTATGTGCAACTTATTTTTTTAATCCAATTCAATGAAATTGATATTTAACACTCTCATCATATCCAAGTATTTAGTAAAGATATGTCTCATTTGTATTTTTGAAACATGGAAACAAATCATCATGATGTACTGAAATTTTGAAAACATAGGAAAACAGTATATCCCATATATTAATCATTTGCCTACAGTAGTGTAGTGTATATAATTTTAATTCATACTTAAAAAATATCTATATACAACTGGAATCTATACAATACACATTAAACAATAAATTTAACTGGCCTACTTTGGAAACGTTCAATATGCTGCTCACTGGCAACAGAAATTTAATTTTTAAGATCAGGAAAAATCTAAACCAGATCTAACAGTAAAGGACATTTTTTGTTTACATAAAGTGTTACAAATATTCAAAACTTGGGCATCTTAGTAGTTAATTATTTTATATCAATAATCTTTATTGAATATACACTTTTGTATCAGTGGCACTCGTGGAATTCAAACAAAATAGGAGTTACATAATGTACATTAAAATACAGAGAATGCAATAGAAACTAAATATGATGAATATAACATTAAAACAGTGATTATTAAAATCATTAAAATATACTAAGACCTGAATAAATAAATAACCTTAAATTCTCACCTGAAGTGTAATCTCACATGCCAGTGATGGCGTCTGTACAACGTTAAAGAAATCATGCTCTGCACGCATCTCACGAAACTCTGTAAAACAAAAGCTTTGTTGAGTACTGATTTATTCAACAAGATGAATACACTGTCATTCAACAAAATACAAAATTTGTATGGTAAAGAATTAAATGAAACAAATAAACCTGACAACAGAGTAAAGACTGTTAGCATGACCAACTGCGCCGCTGCGACACAAACGCTTGCTCACGCGAATATTCGCTCATGTTGCATGTGCTGCGCTCAACCATTTTCTTTAGAGTTAGCCCTCGCGAGCCCACTCAACATTTTTTGAGGTTTTCTTAGGTTTAAATATATATGTATATGTCATACAAACTATTAATTTTCAATTAATAATTAAAACAAAAATTATTTTCCTTGCCAATCAACAAACACATAAAAACCAAAATAGCTTCTATATTTGCATAGATTCTGGTAATGAAATTAAATACGTATTGTCCCCTGATAATGAAAAATATTAAAAAAATAATTTTGAAATTAACTTGCTCATTTTGCAATAACATACAAATTACTAACTGAGAGCATAGAAATGACTGAATTTAGAAAATGTGTACCCTGATTCTTATACTGGATAATAATAAAAATAATAAAACACTTTGAAGAAGTGTTTCTACCATTTTTCGCTGTAAATTCAAGTTGATAATCTTCATGTTATTTCAAAATGAGCAAGTTAATTTCAAAAATGATTTTTATGAGTTTTTGATATTTTGCATGGAACAATACATCTTTAAGGATTGTTGTAGTAAAAGTCTGTAACCCACCAAAACATTTTATTCATTTTCTTTCAATAAAATATGCCTAGAAAAGGTAAAAATTTCTAAGAAAAAAAGTTCAATAAGAAATCAGGGGAAGTCTACAGGCTGTAGGTATATGGAAGGCATCTTTAATGTATTTTTTAATGTAAAGTATTTATATATTTTATACAAATATTATATTTATATTTTTTTTAACTTTAGTTAATTGGCTTTGTAAAAAATTTTCCCAATTCAGCCATTGGCTGCGAAGAAATTTTATTTTGCCACCATTTTTTTTGTTTTGTACTGAATAAAAAAGATACCAAGATTAGGATGGCAATTCCACAGGATGTACACCTTAACAGAAAAAAAAAACGGGAGAGGGCACAAGCTGTTGTACTGGTACCAGAATTGGCCCGAAAGGGCACTTAGGTGTCGAACCAGAGGGTCTGACAGAGGCCGGTGGGGTCTAGGAGAGGGGAATTTTGAACTGTTTATTTTTCGTAAATATTTTAAAGCAAATTTAGTTCTTTAATAACATTAAATGTAACTAAATAAATAGTTTCTAGCAATAAAGTTTGATAATTACCTGGAAGATATCTGCCAGCCTGACGCATAGCCCAAACTGGAACACGCTCAGTTTTTTCTCCTCTTGCAGCTCGTATTATGAGATCATTTTGCAATTTTGGAAACTTTAATGAAAAAGAATTGATACAATTTGTCTTATATAATGGTTACATGAGCTTAGTACAGTAGTACTAAACATATTAGGATTAAAAATAGTCAAATAAGTTTAAATTATTGAAAGAAATATACTGACAGTGTTTTTCTATCCAAACATTTGAGTGATGATACTCCAGCCGGAGTTTTTCAATTACTCTATCAAGATCAAGATTTCAATTTTTTAATAAACTGATGAAGAAAAAATATTTTGCTTATAAGTAGGACAGATGGCCATATTACGTGAAAACTAACAATCAATGCATATGATATGGAAGGTCACTCTCTTGCCCACCTAAATATTAACCGAGGCCTAGCCAGTGATGGTATGTCCTGTCAGCTTGGGCCTAGACCAGGCTAGACAGAATACTACTAACCTACCCTAGGCCGCCCTAGGCTACTTTACTAATCTGAGGCCGGGCCAGGCCAGGCCTTTCACACTTCCTATTGCTGCTACTACTACTACTACTAGGCTGGGCCTACAAATCGTGTACATCGGTAGCTAGCATGTTAGGAACTTGGGTGTCAGCCCAGACCTACGACAGATTTAAATGTGCATTTGTATTGACGGTTTGACTTTCTAGAATTATGAAAACATTAGCTGAAAAACAACCTCCAAACTCTTGCTTGTGGGCGCAGCCATTTTTTTCAAACCCAGTTACATAACGTACTAAAACATATTATTATTTTGGTAATCAATAAGTGCATCCGCGTTGAGCCGCAATAAGCCCATTTTTTTGGCACCCACATAAATTTGGGTTTCAACACATACAGTAACTTGCTCACCCATCCCATGCAGTCAATGTTGTTACAGGATACGATTTTGAATACCTTTCTTATACTTTTTGCGTTATTTCTTATAGTTAAACTAACATGATAGATAAAGATTGTTTTTTTGTGGGTGTTGATGTTGGCACTGGCAGTGTAAGAGCTGCTGTTGTTGATAACAATGGCATCATCAAGGCTTCAGACAATGTCGCCATTCGTATTTGGGAACCCTGTCCTGGTTATTATGAACAATCAAGTGAAAATATCTGGGCAGCCTGTTGTGAAGTTGTCAAGGTACATTTTTATGTTCGTTCATTTAAACACTTGATTTTAAAACATTTAAAAACAACTCGATATTTAGAGAAAAAGTAAACTGTGGGGATACAAATCTTTAACTTCCATCATTCTAAATTAGGCTATGCAACTAATTATTCAAATGTGAAGTCCAGGTTTCAAAATTTCCATGCGCTTCAAAATATCTGGGTTGTAATATGTTAAAACCACATGTTTAATTGAAGGCCAGTACATACAATTAAGTGCTAGTCTTCAAGTATGAAGTTTACACTCTACTGGAAAAAGAAGACTTCTTTTCATGAGATGAACAAGATCAAGTTAAATCATATACAGTAATTGTAATATGATGTAATACATGTAAAATTTGCTTGAGTCAAGGTACAATGAATTAAAATACTGTAGAACCTTGAATTGAAGCTCTGGGCTTCTTTTTTTTTTCTTTGCTAACTTTGAATGGGCCTCTTTCCGAGATAGGACATGCTATCTTGAAAAGAATTAAACCCACAGGCTTCTTTTTGAGATGGGCTTGTTTTCAAGACTACTTTTGCAAACTAAAGAAGGACTGAAATTTGAGATGGCTTCTCGAGATATAAGCCCATTGGGATTCAAGGTTTTATGGAGCTACTGAAATATATAAGAAACAAGAGCACATATTGCACAGAAAACACTAAAATGTGAAAAGTAAAATTATCTAACAAATCTTTTAACATATTTATTGTACTAAGAATAAATGAGTCTTTTCTATTTGATTTTTGTTAACTTATATGGTAACAATTCTACTGGATCTGCTAAGACTGATTTAATGGACCTTTCCGCTAAGCTCCGCCCCTTGGATTTTGTTGCTAAGGTCCCACAAGACGGCAGTGTTAAAACATACGCGAACACGTGCGTTTGTGGGACAACACGTGTGTTTGTAAGACGCGTGCGTATTCCTAGCGCTGTTCTGATTAGTCCGTTGTTAAATTTGATTGACACTTCGGAAAGGTCTATTGTGAAGTGGGTGGTTATTATAATTAATTATATTACTTATGAATTATACATTTTATTTAACATAGCAGCTTCAATATTTTTTTCAAAGTTTACAAAGTTAATCCCAGTTATAATTTTTTACAGCCTTACCCAATAATGTATTGGGTAAACTATTTGTATGATCAGAAAAAATGCTTAGATAGTAGAAAAATAATATCATATTAATTATTACTGATTTTTTTTCCTGTTTAAGTTCTTGATGTTGAAGTGTTTTAAAAACAAACTGAGAAATTCAAAATTTAGTTTTGCTTTCCATCAGACAATGCATTGTGAATACAGTAATTATGCTTCTGATTTTGATTTGATAAATGTAAGATTCTGATCATTTTATTTTTCATCTCACTTAACTGTCCACATTTTTCTGGGGTTTTTTTTCATTTCTGGTGTCCTTGTTGATCACCAATTGGTTATATTTTTTTATTTTTCTTGCACCTTGTATCCCTTGGCAAAAGGCATGGTACAAGTTCCTGAATTATTATTATTGTCGTAAGGAAGCCATATGAAATAAATAAATAATAATAATTAATAATTAAAAGTACATAAACGAACAATAGGTAACCAATAGCAAACAATAGGACCTACTTATAAAGCCCTGTCCAGACTATCAAATTTTATTTGACAAAAACATGTGACATGCCTAAATATGGTCATGATGACATCACATCATGACCATATATAGGCACATCATGACTATATATAGGCACATCATGATCATATATGGACATACAACAATTTTTTGTCGAATAAAATTTGTTAGTGTGGACAAAGCTTTAGACTTTACAGCATGTTAAAAACTGGTACTTATAGATATTGGTAATAACATGGAGGTATAATGGTAATAGCAATTTAAAAAATAAAAATAACTTAAATATACAGTATATAATAAACAAATGTACTATGTAAATACTGTTTATAAATATAAATAAAGAAAATAATGATAAAAATATATATTTCAAAAAAGTAAATAAATATAATAAATAATGAAAAACTAAGGAGTAGTTTTTAAGATTGGTGCTGCCTGTCATATTCAAGAAAGCGAACAAACTGAGAAATTCAAAATTTAGTTTTGCTTTCCACCAGACAATGCAATGATATAGTAATGATGTTTCTGATTTTGAATTGATCAGATTTTGACATAATATTGTCATAAGGAAGCCTTATGAAATAAACAATAATTAATTAAGGAAAAGTACATAAACGCAAATAATAGGGCCTGCTTATAATATTATACAGCATGTTAAAAACTGGTACAGATAGATATTGGTAATAACAATTTTAAAAAAAATGCAAATACAGTATAATGATGCTTTTGATTTTCATTTGATCTGTCAGATCAAGTTCTTGATGTTGAAGTGTTTTAAAAACAAACTGAGAAATTCAAAATTTAGTTTTGCTTTCCATCAGACAATGCATTGTGAAATACAGTAATGATGCTTCTGATTTTGATTTGATAAATGTCAGATTCTGATCATTTTATTTTTCATCTCACTTAACTGTCCACATTTTTCTGATTTTGATTTGATAAATGTCAGATTCTGATCATTTTATTTTTCATCTCACTTAACTGTCCACATTTTTCTGGTTTTTTTTTTTTTCATTTCTGGTGTCTTTGTTGATCACCAATTGGTTATATTTTTTTATTTATTTTTCTTGCACCTTGTATCCCTTGGCAAAAGGCATGGTACAAGTTCCTGAATTATTATTATTGTCGTAAGGAAGCCTTATGAAATAAATAAATAATAATAATTAATAATTAAAAGTACATAAACGAACAATAGGTAACCAATAGCAAACAATAGGACCTACTTTTAAAGTCCTGTCCAGACTATCAAATTTTATTTGACAAAAACATGTGATATGCCTAAATATGGTCATGATGACATCACATCATGACCATATATAGGCACATCATGACCATATATGGGCATACAACAATTTTTTGTCAAATAAAATTTGATAGTATGGACAAAGCTTTAGACTTTACAGCATGTTAAAAACTGGTGCTTATAGATACTGGTAATAAAATGGAGGTATAATGGTAATAGCAATTTAAAAAATAAAAATAACTTAAATATATATAATAAATAAAAATACTATGTAAATACTCTTTATAAATATAGATAAAGAAAATATTGATAAAAAAATATATTTCAAAAAAGTAAATAAATATAATAAATAATGAAAAACTAAGGAGTAGTTTTTAAGATTGCTGCTGCCTGTCATATTCAAGAAAGCGAACAAACTGAGAAATTCAAAACTTAGTTTTGCTTTCCACCAGACAATGCAATGATATAGTAATGATGTTTCTGAATTTGAATTGATCAGATTTTGACATTTATTGTCATAAGGAAGCCTTATGAAATAAACAATAATTAATTAAGGAAAAAGTACAAATATTAGGGCCTACTTATAATATTATACAGCATGTTAAAAACTGGCACAGATAGATATTGGTAATAACAATTTAAAAAAAAATTAAAAATATATATTAAAAAAATATACTATGTAAATATTGTTTATAAATACTGTTTATATACATATTAATAAAAATTAATAAATATAAGAAAAAGGAAAAAGTAAATAAATAAAATAAATATGTGAAAAATTAAGAAGTACCATAAGCACCGCTGTGCTTTTAAGATTTTTGGAGGCTTAAGTTAAGTTCAGTTGTTAAAAATAAACTGAGAAATTCAAAATATAGTTTTGCTTTCCATCAGAAAATGCATTGCAAATACAGTAATGATGCTTTTGATTTTCATTTGATCTGTCAGATTCTGATCATAATGCAAACCATATGACATAAATTTACAAACTTAGAATTAAGGATAGAATTAAAGCAAACCGGTGGTGCCAGGATTTCTGATGGGATGTCAGTGACGAGAGCGAAGTGGGCGTGGTTGGGCATTGCTCAAAATACTTAGAAAGTAGTTTGAAGATTTTGACAATCTAAGGATTTCAAAAGCTTTTATTTAATCGATTTTAGGGTCTACTAATATGTAGAAAATACATACATTATAATTTTTTTCTCCCCGACGAATTGTGACGAGAGGGGCCAGCTTTCCCAAACTGTGGTTGGGAAGAAGCAATGAATAATTATAATTATACAACAATGTTAAAAATTGGTACCGATAAATATTGGTAATTACAATTTAAAAGAATGAAAATAAACTTAAAATATATAATAAACAAAAATACTATATAAATACTGTTTATAAATAAATAAATTAATAAAAACAATAATGATATAAAAGATATAAATAAAAAAAGGGGGAAAAAGTAAACAAATATAATAAATAAATGAAAACTGAGAAGTAGTCAAGTTTTGCTGTTGCCAGTCATATGCAAGAAAAAGAAAAGTAATAGACCTAGAAAATTCTAATATCAGGATGAGTAGAAACAAGGTTTTTCATCGTTCTTTTTATGTACAATAAATTCATCAGTTTTCATTATTGTAATTTTCGAACAGAAAGTGACAGAAAAAATTGATAAGAAGACTATTTATGGAATTGGATTTGATGCAACATGTTCCCTTGTTGCCCTTGACACCAGTTTTCAGCCACTCACTGTTAGTCCTTCTGGTAGGTACTTATTTTTTTTTCATAAATAAGGCTTGCCATCCAAAAACCAGTATCAGTGACCAACAAATGAAAATTGACTTTTTAATATATCCTTATTCTCCACATTATAAGCTGTAAAATGATATGTCATTTACTGGCATCGATTTACTATTGCTAAAGTTATGAATGAACGTATTGAATACAACTTCCATGTTCTAAAGTATATAATACTGCCGTGCATTCTTATGTTTATCAATTAGCGACAATACACTGGTGTTGGAATGGCAAGCCTCAAATCATAATTCTTGATAAGGTTACAGTCAAATAATTTATTCAACATTGCAAGTGCAAAATATAAATATTCCAACAAAATTGGAATAACATCAATTTGATTTCATTTAAGTTATTTATTCAGCTCAACAATTGACAAAATATAATTAAATTAGCTTCCATCAGCCACTCACCATTCCCCGTGTTAATACTCATATTGTGATCATATGTGATTATTTATACAGCATAGGCATGCGCTTTAGGTATAAAGCCAAACCAAAACTTTTGTTAGCAGTGACAGGCTTTGTGGCATTCTTACTTCCACAATCTAATAAGCCAGTTCATAGTTTGAACTGTGCATGCTCGTATGTTGTGTGTGCAGTGTTATGTCGAATTGAGACCTTTGATATGAGCATGCGCAGTTTTAACTGTGAATTGGCTTATCAATGTTTTTATATTAATTCTGATGTTTTCCTGTAAATTAGAAATTTCTGAGATTAAGTCACACTTTTACGCAAAATCTATTTATATCCTGAACTGAAAATCGGTCAAACCTTGCCAGCAAGAGCTCATCTGTAACGCCAAATGCAGCTTGCCAGGCTAAACTTCATTTGACCAAAAAGAATGATACTCAGTCTGTTAATGACATTAACTAGATGTGCATGCCATGGATCATTCTTAATGACCATCCGTTTAGACTGACAATCACCTGATGGCATCGCGTCATCTAATGCTCACAGGGAGCGAAGTTGGATTCGTTGGCTAATGGTCATACAACGTAGTGACATGATGCCAAGCTTTAGTGTGACCAAATAGTTTCAATTTCAACAGAGCGTAAATCTATAATTTACCTGTATGTAAATTCCTCATAATTATAACAAATGCACAAGGATATCTCATAATGATATAAAATATAAAGGTGCAATGACCGTGCCAGATATGCTCAGAAGAGGGTCAAAGGTTTGTGATGACAAAACGCTTAGCCGGGTTTAATCGTGATGTCACTACTGGTCTATGATTATAGACCATTGCTTTAGCACGGTCTAACCAGTTAGCCATCTTAAACTTTAAAACCTACTCGGTTGAGACTTAAAACGGTCTTAAATCTTTTTCATCATGGCATTACAGGTACTAGAACTAGGCCTAGATTGTCAAAACTAAGAATCAAACGATGAATCTTCCGCAAGCTTCTCAGCGTCTGTAAAAACCGGTCTACATTTATTTATATTCATTTTGAAAAATATGCATGTTTTGAGCAAGCATATCAGCGCCCTCAATTTTATGTTACCAGGGCGTGCTTGTGTGCATTTCAATACTCAAAGCAGTCTTTTATCAATTAACTTTCTTAACACAATTCTTTTCCTTGCACTCCTCCACATTTACTATGATACAGATGTGGACCTTGAAACAGCTGCCCCTGGACCCTGGCAGGGGCCCTGGGCTGGCCCCGGCCCCAGCCCCAGCCAAGTTTGGTCCGTTTTCCAGAATTATAAATTTTCTTTGACAAAAAAACTGTTGTATGCTCATATAGCCATGATGTGCCTAAATGGATGTGATGTCATCATGACCATATTTAGGCATGTCACATGTTTTTGCTTAATATAAATTGAATATGACCCAACCAAGTAAATGGCAACAATCTGGTCTGCAGCTGTATGTTTTTTTTTTTATTTTACCAAAAGTAAAATATTTGTGATACCCATTATGGTGATTCTGTCAAATCAAAAACAAATAACTTATTTTTACTGATTTTAGGGAGTAATGAGCAAAATATTATAATGTGGATGGACCACCGTGCCGAAGCCCAAGCCAAAGTGATCAATGCCACAGAACATGATGTCTTGAAGTACGTTGGTGGCACTATGTCTTTGGAGATGCAACCACCAAAGCTTCTCTGGTTGAAAGAGGTAAAGCAGCTTTTTCCAGGGGCGGAGCGAGGATTTGCCCGATGGGTTGTCAGAGGTCCCTGACAGTGGGGGCTGATGTCCCCAACGAGAAAAATGTTGGCGTGGTCAGGTGTCACTCAAAATCTATTGAAAGTGATTCAGGGAGCGAAGTCCCGCAAAAATATGAAAATTTAGGGGTTTGAAAGGGTTATTTAATCGATTTTAGAGTCTATTAATATGTAGAAAATACATAGAATTTTTGTTTTCTCCTTGACGAAATGTGGTTTTTCTTCCTGACAGGGGTGCAAGACCTTCCCAACGGGGAACTGTAGCCCCACCCCCCACCGCCCGTAGCGCCGACACTTTTTCTCCATTGAATGTATCGTTTGCAGCACAAAACACATGCTCATCATTTTGTGATTAGACACGCCTAATTATTGTTCATGTGACTACGACGAGCCAATTGAATCATGGTGAAAACTATCAGTTCTCGGAATTTCCCAGACGCCTTCTTTCATATAACTCAGACATATCTTATAATTAACACGTTTACAATGAGAGGTTGTTACTCTCTTATACGTCATCAATAATTTGTCAGAATTCACAGACATTTCTATATTAATTCTCAGAGTCTTCCAGTCACTTGGGCAAGAGCAGGTTATTTCTTCGACCTCCCAGATTACATGACTTTCCGAGCAACTGGATCAACCACAAGGTAGGTTAAGATATATACTGTACATAAATTGGTGATGGACCATCAAGGGAAGCAAGGAAGTAGTATACTGCATACCCTAGCTAGAACTATAAAGGAAATGTTTTTTTCTTGTTTCATTTAGCATTTTAGAGTCTTATAGATAATTTAATTTTCTAAGATGTCTGCCGCAAGTAGCTATTAAGATTATTGTTATAACAGTAAGTATTGTTTGTTTTAATATTATTAGGCGTCTGTCGCATCTCAGTGCACAAGTCAACTGCTTAGAATTTACACGTAATTGGTTTTCATTTTTCATCCAATCATCTTTCATCTAAGAACCGAATAAAAGCCATAAGATACCTTACGATAGATATATCATACTCATTTAACCTTGTCATTTGAATTAGACAGGTTTAAAGTTGTTTTCAACAGAGGATTTGAAATTCCAGCAGAGCCTGCAGTGCTGGTCAGTATACAGGGGCGTAGATTTGGTGGGGTCGAGCTAATCCCTTGTTCTAATGTGTTTTAGAATTTCGCACTGTGACCCAAGAAGCTCTGCCAACTCGCTATGGTTGGGAGACTCCAACAACTTTTTAGGTGCCTTGGGACCCTTATATAGTATACATATGGGTAAATCCCAGGTAATTTTCACATACAATGTGATACTTTGAACAGAGCTTTGAAGATATTTGTCAATTATATTAAGATATACTTTCTGTGTTATGAAAATAAAAAAATTCAATGTTCACTTTTTTTTAAATTTAATAACTTTCAATTGAAAATGGAAGTATTATTATTGCCAAATATAGCCAGGCACTCACTGCATCATATGACGAATCCAACTCCAGACGGCATCTGCTGATTGTCGCTGGCAGTCAGAGTGGACCGTCATGTGTTGCGCACACATTGTTGCGTTGTCCATAGAATCACGTTGGCCAACGACCATCGGCTGCATGAGTGCCGGCCAGCTTAACAGTTGTATTAATAATACTCTGAATACTTTGTATAGACTCTTACTGTACATTGACTCTCAACTTTGAGGTCCAGGGGCAGATCCAGTGGGGGAGGGGTACACCCATTTCCACACTAAATTTTTTAAATTTCAGTGCATATCAGTGTTTTGTATTACTCACTAATATACTCTGAAGCTTTTGTGCCCCTTCCCCCTCCCCCGTTTGAAAAATTCTAGATCCGCCCCTGAGGTCGGGGATTTAGATACCCTTTCTGTGTCCATGGACAAGGCACTTTATTTACGTTTGACTCTCTATGGATATATTCCATAGCTGACTGGGGGTGATAATGTATAGCGCATAAAGTTAGTTTATTCCAATATGCGCTATATAAATGTCGCATTATTATTATTAAGCAAATACATTTGACCCCTCCTTTGGGACACCCTATTTAGGGGGACACCCCTATTAAGTAGACACTTTTCTGCGAAACGAGGGGAAATAAATTTCACACGGATAAATAAATTTTGGTGACGAGAATGGTTAAATCAAGACATATTTAACCCCTCGCCCCGCAGACACGCCTGGAGCCCCTACCGACTAAAGAAACTGACTAAGATTCTAGTCAGCCCCTTGGTTTGGACCCTGCTGTCAGACAAGTCAGACCCATTGTTGGCAAAATTTCTGGAGCCACCGCTTCAGGATCCAAGTAGGCTTGGAGTCATGGGAAAAAGCACATTTGGGAGTTCAGTGGGTCCTATGGAGCAGAAGCATTCTGACATGTAAAGAGTAAATTTCTTAATGTTTTTGATGATTGCCTCCAAAAATTTGTCGACAGGGGGCTCACCATATCCAACAAGGGGAAGTCCAAACCAAGAGGCCGAATTGAGCCTTGGTAGGGTTCCAGACTTTTCCACAGTTTTCAGGACATGAACAAATTTTTATTGATGTTTTAAAAAACTGAATTGCCAAACATTTTTTTAAAATAATGTACATTTTTTAGATCTCTTTGCTCATTGGTTTGCAAATGGGCCTATCGGGCAGACTGTGATGGAACAAGCCAATGGGATGAGTCGTTTATGAAGCAAATTGGCCTAGAAGGACTGTTACAAGATGACTTAGCAAAAATAGGTATGAAATGCAATTTTCTTTTGATGAAAATCTGAACTTTTAATATTAAAACTACAATTCAGGGTTTTTTGTTAGTTCAGGGAAGAGCAGTTGTGTTTTAATAAGGATATTGAAACTAAAGAAATCTGTTGTGATATTATTGCAAGGTTCCAATGACTCCTTCAGTTCACACGAATCTTCCGGAAATCGACACAGTTTATTATACTCTTGAGACTCTGGAAAACTTTCGTATATAGAGTCTGTGAAGAATCTAATCTATACAGTATTTTTTTAATAGATTATTGTCTTCCTAATTAGCTGCCAAAGCGCAGTACAATAACATTAAAAAAGCTCAGTGAACCACATCTTGAAATGGCTTCTTCCAACTTTAGACCCTACTTATTGATATAAAACCTAAAAACAGGTATTAACATCTGCCATTGGATGAGTTGCGTTGGCTGAGTAGTAAGGCAGGGGTACTGTTCACTACAATGTTAACATCGGGGCTAGTTTGAACCACTCCTCACCCAGGGTTCAGTTGGTAGAACAAAGACTTCTCAGATAAGGACTTAAAAACGGAAGGTCCAGTGATTACCTTTGGCTCATGTACACTTTTAAAGAACCCATTATATCATTTGGAAGAGTAGGGTTTAACTAGATACTATAATGGTTCTCTTCAGCACCTGTTATTGTGGAATGATGTCAGCTAAGCGCCTGTGGCTCTTAAAGTAGTCACGGACTACGCTTATATGAATTTAAGCACAATGACACTGCCAGTTATAGTTAACATTCTCGGTATATACAGTACATTATTTTAATATACATTTAAAAAAAAAAAAATTACAGCATTTCTTGCAGTTTTGACAAAATGATCAATTGTCAAAATAAATGTTTGTGCTTTTGAGGTGATCAGCTTACAAACTTTAGAGCCATTTTTTTGCTTGTACTTATACTTTGCTTGTGCATATTTTAAGCTTTTCTTTTCCTCTGTAAAGCAGTTTAACTATGGCTAAATTATGTTAAAGTATGTCTTCATGACTTATTTAGTGGCACTCGATACTAGCATGATGTCTGATGTATGGGTATACGGATGCTGAGTATTGTGGCTTGTTTTTTTTTTCCATAGGGAATGTTGCATTAGCCCCTGGTGAGCCTGTGGGGAATGGTTTGAGTGCTGAAGGTGCCAGTGACTTAGGCCTCATTCAGGGCATTCCTGTTGGTGCTTCCATCATAGATGCACATGCTGGCGGAATTGGTATGAAGTGCTTGTATTAACTTTATGAATTTATGATTTTCCTTTTATATTTTTATTAGTTCTATAAATATGATTGAAATATGATATCTGCAGGGGTGGATTTAGGGGGGGGCTGGGCCTGCCCCGGTCCTCCGTTTTGGTAAGTAAAAATAAAAAGAAAGAAAAAGGAAAAATTAATTGCCAAAAATGCCTCAGAGGTTATTTTTGGCCATCTAGAAAACAAAAATTTTGCAGGAGAATGCTTCCGGACCCCCTAGTGTAATTTTATCTCGATCAGCATGACTTTCGCGCACACCCCTCCCCTTTTCGGACATCTCTGTATCCATCCTTGATCTGTATAGCTTTGAAAGCAATGGCTTATCAAGGAGTCTTGAAATGGGTGTACTGAATGGGAGTACAAAGGTGAAGTAGGGGATTAATTGAGGGGCGCTACCTTTGCAAAATAAGGTGTTTTTTAACTGCTTGACCATGGTTTTTGTTTCAAACATTTTCAGTTGGGGGGGGGGAACGAATGGGGTGGCACACGCTTTTTGGGTGGGTGTGTGTACAGTATGTCCCTTGCACCCTCTGGATATGCCACTGTTGAGAGAGGTTTGATGTGACAGTAAGAGACATGCAGAACTTCAAATAAGAGACATGATGAGGCTGGAAATTGAAAGTTTAATATTACTAGGACTCAAGAATTATTTTTGATTTTAAGACTATGAGAAAAGTTAAAAAGGGAGTAGAGTTCATAGGTTTAATATCATGTTTTGTTAACAGTTCAAGAGGTTCTCCATATTGAAAGAAGTTTTACTTTATTTCTGGATTAGGGATACTAGGAGTGAGTGATAAATTCAGAGAAAATGAAAAAGTAACCAATAGACTGGCTATCATATGTGGAACATCATCATGTCATATGGCTGTAAGTAAACATTTCTTTTAATTTAGAAATACTGAAACATTTTATGATTCTTTCTTTTTCCACTTTTAGATGCCTTTCATTATAAATTTGTTTGGAATGTGTTATCACACATTATACATTTGTTTGAAATATGTTATCACACTTAAAATGTTTACATAGTTAACTCATTGATCAGAAGAAAATTCAGCTAATTAGTTATATTATATATCACTATTTTTTGTATCACTGTATTTTCTAATTATACTGCAAGTAGTATATTTGATAACATCTTGAATATATAGACACAATATTCAAAATCTTTATAATATATGAAAATGTGGTTTACGGAAGGAAAAAGCCTAGCATTTAATCTAATTATATATAACATACAGAGGCATCCATGTGTTTACCTAAGTACAGTATATACAATGAGAAATGAACAGGAAACAATTGAGTAGACTTTAAAGAACACTATTTTTATTTAATCATTAATGTTTCAACCTGTCCTCAAGATATGAGGACAAAATATTCATGTCTAGTAGTGTTCTACAAAGTCCACCCATTTTTTCCCTCTTTGATACTACTCGATCGTTTTCTTGATTACTCCTAACCACTGAGCCTATATCACAGTGTCTACATTTTCTAAACTATTTTAATGTTTTATGATTATATTTCAAAATGCATGTAGTAATTTTCACATTCATGAACTTAACCTAATATTTAAATTTTCTATTGAACTTTATTAGTATTCTGATTTCTGTATGTACAATCTATTAATCTATTTGCAGAGCACTTATTATAATTTCTTTTTTCTTTTTAAATATTTATTTTTCAGTGTATGTTACAAGGGTACTCAAATACGTAACAAATTTTCTGTTATGTGCTCAGATTTAAGAGTGCAATATCTTCTACCTCACAATATAAACCTAAACCTTGCTTTGATCCTTTTTATCCAAAAGGTTAATTCTGAAAATCTATCGATATATATATATTGCAAGGGAGCTATTTAAAAAGATTCAAAAATTATAAATTTTATGCATTAATATTGAATTCTTATCTGCATAACATAATTTTCATTTTTAAAATTTTCTATTCTACTTACATAGTTTCCAGATTATGTACAAATTATTAATTTGCTGAATGCTTACTCTGTAATATTTTTTTAAAGAACATAGTTTATTCTACAAAATTTCTCAAACATGCACATTATTTCTTAAAATTATTTTATTTGTGCAAATTTGCATATATTGTCAATAGAGGTGTTTAAAGCAGTGTTTTCCTGAAAATGTTTTAGCCGTAGATTTTACCGGTAAAAATAACTGGCCAACCAGTAAAAATTTCCAGATTGTAATATAATGAAACCAAGGCCTATGAGTTATAAAAAGCTTAGTGGTGGTTAAGATGCTTTCTTTCCAATGCCCGGCTCCTAGGTTCAATTCCTAAAAGCATTATTTGTGGGAGAACAATAGATATATACTGAACAGGATATCTAGCATAAAAAAGAATTAATTTAATAATTAATTAAATTGATTAGCAACATGAATCTTTTTCTGCTGTGCTTGTGGCTGGATATTCATTTAGTTCATTTGTTTGTTCTATTGAAGATTGCTCCATGAACTCTTCACTCTATCCAGTTTCACTGCCTTCATTACTGATGTTCTCTACTGTCTGAGCATAAATGTCTAGGTATGGTTCTTTTCCTCCTTTATTAGTTTTAAACTGTCTGTTAACCTGTGTATAGATATGTTCTTTAAGACCTGGATAAATTTGATTACCAGAAGTTATCTTTGGTTGTGAGGTAAAATTAGTAGGTGTATCATTTAAAGATGGCTTCAACTCCCCAAACTCCCAATCATGAGTCTCTTCTTCCTCAGCATTCGCTATTGTTTCATCATTGACATCTGCGGGTGCATCTGCAGCTGTTTCATGCTTTGGGTTTTTGTTTACTTCTGAATAAATACTGGAGTCTTGTTTTGCGAGATATGAGTTACACAGATTGTTCGTTTGTCTGGTCTCATAACTTACCTTCAAAGTTGGTATTTTTTCATAATAGATATCAGGACTTATTTTTTCTGATGACGTGCATCTCTTCTCTGTTATTGTCCATTCATAGTTTGTCTTCTTATCATTATTAATGTTAATCTCTTCGTATGGTGTCTCAATTGGTGACTTAATTATAGTGTGGTTTGGCCTGAAGGAAGCTGGAACAGTTGTGTCTTGGTCAACTTCAGTTCTAAAATCTTCCTTGTGTTTCCTCAATTTCCAATCTCTCTTATGTGTCAAATTTATCTCATCATAATAAGGGTCATTTAACATGTCAACAATGCCGTTGTCTGTGTATTGAGCCCCATCGTCACTTGACTCAAATGATGAGATTGAGTTGATTGGTGGTAAAGTGGGCTTAGTATCCTGTGATGCCTGTATACGCTGCCTTATTCTTTCATCTGGTAATGATACTATGCTCGGTGCTGAGGTCATTGGATTGCTGGGTATCAACTGTTGTGAGAGGTGATGTCGGAGATTACTCACAGAGGTTGAAGAAGCAACGACAGACAGTGGCACTGTTTTGTAAGAATCATTATCATAACTGACAATCGCTTGAATGGTACCAACATCAAGGTCTTGATGTGAAGATCTCTTAAAATGATGGCAGCAAATAACTCCAAAAAAGCAAAGGAATATCATCATGAAGATGGATGCAAAAATGATAGCAATTATTATAATCAAGCCATTCTGTTTGGAAGTTGTATTTTGTGACTTCTTTGTGATAGATACAGATGTAGATACAGATGTAGATACAGATGAAGATACAGGTGAAGCTACAGATGAAGATGCAGTTGTAGATAGTCCATTGAAATTGAGTGTAATTGAATGGCTGCCAATAGATATATTGAGCCCTTCAACTTCACAAGTGATATCAGTATTGTTCATGTCATCTGTTATCCTTTCAATGGCTAGAATGTTGCTGTGGTTTTTCTTGCATTGACTGTTTGTGTTGTTGCTGTTGCTACCTTTGCTGTACAGCCTTATGGCTTCCTGCACACTGCTTGTTTCTGATGTCCAGGTATACATGTAGTTGAGAGAGATGTTATTATTACCTGCAATGCATTGCAGTGTTGCTGGCTGTCCTAGTATAATGTCAGTTACATTGATGACGACTTTTTTGATTGAAATTACAACTTTACAAACAAGTGCTACTGAACTCCATGTAGGTACAGTCATAATACAATGATAAGATGTACCATTCATATTTGTCTTGGCAATGAATACATTGTAGTGAGGATTTCCTTCATAGGGGTTTTCTTTTAAGTTCCACTCCAACTCAAGAGATGGGTATGTAGTTTTGGCTTCACATTTCAAAATCACTTCATCTCCTTCAAAGTAGTATGATTTAGATGCTTGACATTTGGGATTCTGAGGTATTGGCCAAACTTTAACTTCCTTTTCCTTAGACATTACAAGTCTAGATTCATTGTAGGTACATTGATATAATCCCATGTCCGACTCTAAAATACTCTGTATCGTTAACCTGTATGTGCTATGGTGGTGTAAAGTAACGCTCTGCTCTGTTGCATACTTTCTTGTTTGCTCAAAAAATTTAGATATCTTATTTTCATGTACTTGTGTAGCATTGTGTAGTAGTCTAAAATATTTCTTTTCAATGTTTTTAGGAAAGAATTTTAGTTCACAAGTAATAATCACACGTTGTCCAACAAAAATTGTATTCTTCTCCGCTATTATGCTCAAAGTAATTGATTGTGATGAAGAAACAACATGGCAACAACATATTATAATGAAGGACATAACAAAGTTTACAACTGACAATGACAGCAACATTGTATTCAAAATGGAAGAATATATTGAAATGTGGTAAAATTCAATGTATATATAATTCATCAATAGCAACGAGATGAAAAATTCTGAATCTAGTGAAATAAAATTTATGAACAGTGTTAAGATCCTGTGAGTCTAGTCCAGTGACTAAAAAATATTAACAGTGTTAATATGGAACAGACGCATGTGAATCCAGTGTTAACATAGAACCTTGTTAATTTAGTCCAGTGTTGTAGAAACCATGTTGACGTGGAATACCCAAAGAATATTGTGAATCCAGTCCAGAGATGTAGAATCCAAAAACTGTGATATCATTCAACATAAACATATAAATCTAGACCAGTGATACCAAATCCATGGACAGTAAAATCCAATTTTTTTGCAAAATTCTTGTTCTAAGAGTTTTTACCAATCCCAACATGTTTTCTACATCTAATTAGATATGAATTTTTTCTATCACCTTATTAAATAACATTCTCATCAGAGTTTCTGATTGGGTGATTTTTTATCCAATTGTATTATTATCATGGTATACCCATTTAAATGTGTTATTTAATAGGCAGGGCTAAGGTAGGAATATGTGCAGTCAAACGCAAGTTTACAAAGTTTATACTGTCTTCTTGTGGGGCCTTAGCAACAATATCCAAGGGGCGGGGCTTACATAAATGAAACCCATTGGTTTCTATTTGTTGATATTAATTTGCTGACAATAGTGGAGTTTCATTTCCATAAAGTGTATCGACTCTTGGTTCCAAAAATTTAAACCTTCATTTTTTTTCTTACCAAATTTTCTTGTGGCATATCTTTATTTTTTTTCAAAATACTCATTAGAAACTGATAAAAATATAAATTAATTTCTGTAAAACCTTGAATGGAAGCCCAAAGGGCTTAATCTTGAGATGAAGCCCATCTCGAATTGAAGCACCCAATTTTTAGTGTGCAAAATTAGTCTTGAATAGAAGCCCATGGGCTTCTTCTCAAGAAAGTATAGGCTTCTTTTCGTGACTGTACAGCTAGTACATACATGGTACATGAATTTAAAAAAACAAAATAAATTCAAAACAAGCTTGGTTTATAGGTGATTTAATACCAGTTAAATACACTCTATGATACAGATTTATGTTACAGTAGCCTTATTTATTGTTTTGTAGTACAAATTCACAATATTTACAACATTCATTTTGAAA